GTAAATAATAAAATAGGTGTTACCTTGTTAGGTGGAATTAGATCAAAGTGATCCCAAACCATGGATCGCTTTTTTCCACTTGTAGATGCCATCAAAAATGAAACAAATGCCAAAAGTCCCCAAAAGTCACTAAAATCACCACTAACGTCACACAATACTCACTACCCAACAGTTTTAAGAAATATTGGTGCATCTTTTATACTGTAGCAGTTTAGCGCTTGTCACACCACAGAAGTGCACTGAACACTCTGAAGCACTCTGAACCAATCACAGAGCGGAACATTCACTGAGCTTATGAAACGCTTGACATGCAGAGTGAAGCAGTAGGGGGAGGGACCGACACTTCCACACTTTGGTCACGTGAGCGGCTGCTGCGAGACGAGCTCCAAGGCAGTGCTTCGGAGCAATTTGTTTCAGAAAGAACGAGACGTGCTCTGGAGCTAAGTCTCATTTGCCCATCACTAGTTTTTTAGTTAGTCACACCTAGGGCTGGGTATGGGAAGTTGCCGATACGATACATATCTCTACATAGACCATGATACGATACACTTTTTGATACTGTGAGCTTTCGATTCAATACGATTCTATACAATATATTTCACATCGATTCAATACGGTTCAGTGTAAAAAAGGCTAAATGATGGCTCTAATACTAAGTCCTCTAAGTCCACTAAGTCCACTAGGCTTTTGAAAAGTGAATGTGAAAAATTCTCATTTTACTCAAAACAGTGAAAATGTCAACACAACTGTAGCTTTTACACAAAATAATGTAGTAAAAATATACCTAAAAATACTCTTAACGATATATTGATACAGCAGCCCACGATACTGATATTATATCAACATATTAAACTATACAAAATATCAATATTTTGATATTTTTGCACACCCCTAGTCACAACTAGCCTGATTCATCAGTCGGTTTCATTTCATAGAAACTGTCTGAACTTGCAGCATTAGGATTCATTCACTTGACAGTAGGCGAATAAGTTTTTTATTTAACCAATCGCTATTTGGTCATGACAGTATGTAAAGCGCCGTGGGGTTAACGGGGTTAACTGGTATATTAAGCTTTTCCCAAATCCCGTAGAAAGAAGGGCAATAATGTCTTTGCCCTTGATAAAATTCACCAAACATTCTCTTTGTTCTGGCTTTAAATCCTTGATCTTGGGAATCGTTACCAACAGAGAATGTATGTCTCTTCATTGATTGGCCGGTGCCTGAACTCGCACTACCGGGGTTTTTGCAAACCATCTATTGTATTCTGATTCCTGACCTAGTCACTGGAGAGAAATGAAATTGAGTGGAGGCACTAGGTGGCGCCAGTCTAGCTAAGTCACACCCACCTTTTTTGTTGAAAATCAAACTCCTATACAGGACCATGAATGCTCGTATTGATGACAGGCTACTGAAAAAGACTTTTAAATAAATGTATTTTTTCTTCAGTTTTCAAACAATGTTAAACATTTTTTGACTGTGTTTGCTCATTGTGCTTTGTGTCATCATGGTAAATTCTGAACATTTCACCACAGACGTACATGTAGAACACCCCCAGCATGATGCCACTGTAAAGTATCAGTTTGCTTTTTGTCTTGTAAAATTAACCATCTCTACATTCTTCATAAGGGATTCCTCAAATGGCCATTCTTACAAAGATTGATGAGGCCTGCCCTGAGGTCCAGTCTAACATAGGGAATGTCTACAGAAGCAAGTTTGTGAAAAATCAGGTATAAAAAAAAAATAATAAAAAATCAGTATGCTATATTAATCAATGGTCCTATATTATTCTAAATTGACTTTTGTGAGCTTTAAGTCATGTTATAATGCTGTTACCTCTTCAAAAACATACCTGGAGTTGTGTTTTGTGTTTTGTTTGTTGTTAATCTGTCTACATCTCCAAAGCTCAAAATACTCTGTTCCACCTTGTGATGTCATGAAGCAGTAGTTTTCAAGTTAACACCAACCTTTACCTTTTGTTCAGTAGAAATTGGCAATTACAGGTCTGAAATATCCAAATGATTCTAGTGGATGTGTATGGAGTACTTCCTGTAATACCACATGACATGTGGAGCCAAGTGTATTCTGTTTGAGAGAAGATTTCAGCTTAAACATGCAGGATTTGTGTGTTAAACATGTGTGAATGAAACGAAACACAACTCCAGGCCTGTTTTTAATGAAGAAACATTGTAACATAGACCAGAAAATAGAGTAATATGAGCCCTTTAAACACAATATAATAATATAATTGCATTTGTTATATTTTCTCTTATTTTAATTTAGATGGAGAACCTCAGTGCCGCTCTGGGAATTCCTCTAAATTGCATCTTCCCTGTGAAGAACTACCACTGTGAGATCTGTAGAGAAGATGACATTGAAAAACTCATTCTGATGGCCCTAAAACAAATGATCGATTTTGGGGAAGATTTTGTAAACAACTGTGACAAAACCTGTACTTAAAGGTTTGCTATGCAACCTTTACATTTATTCAGTTACAGGTGGTTTCATAGCTCAGAAATATCGAGAAAACAGGCATTCTGACTGTGAGCGGGGTTGCCACTCCACAGATTTGACCTGTAACTTGATCTTGTTTAGTCTCCATGATGATAGAAAATCCTTTGTAATCACATATTCTAATATTTTTTACATTTATTTCATATGTTGTAGATCTTTTAAGTATATTAAACAATTTGTTTCACTGTCACAGATCGAAGGAATAATAAACAAGTGCATAATAAATGCAAAAAGGTGCAATGGGTAACTTTTCGGTACTGGGTCTGTCACATTTTTGTTGCTATGAATATGTCATTGCTCTGACTGGAATGTTCCACAGTATGACATTAAACAGCTCTACCTTACATTTATTGATTTACAGGTGGGTTTATAGCTCAAAAATACCAAGAAAAACAGACTTTCTCTCCACAGATCTGACCTGTAACTTGGTCTGGTTTTGTCTCCATGAAGATAAAAAGGTTTAATGCCATATTGTGAAACATTCCAGACAAAGCAACAACATCCATGGAGAAAAGAATTTGACGGACCCTCCAAAAGAAAAGTTACACAATGCACGTTTAATATAGCCTAATTCATCAGCTGGTTTCATTTTGTAGAAATTGTCTGAGGCTTGCAGCATTAGGATTTGTTCGCTCGACGGTAGGCGGGTACTTTTTAATTTAGCCAGTCACTGCTATTTGGGTTGTGACGTATGTAATGCACCAAATCCTGTAGGAAGAAGGGCAATAACGTCTTTCCCCTTGATAAAATTCACCAAACATTCTCTTTGTTCCGGCTTTAAATCCTCGATCTCAGGAATTGTTGCCAACACAGAATATATGTCTTCAGCCCTATTCACACAGAATAAGTACAACCTGGGGATGTGTGGAAATTTGTAAATTACCTCCCCGCGTCTGTGTTACTTGCAGCGCATTCGCACGGGATAAGCAAAGTCTGTAAATTACTCTGTTTTACTGATATTACGAACGGATATGTCGTAACATCGTAACATCCGCTTCTCTCTCTTTCGCGCTGCTAACGGCAGTTATCTAACCTAACCAGTAACCTAACCCCTATAAAGGCGACCGGACCAGGACTAGACCAGTACTAGACCAGGGCTGAACCAGGACTAAAGCAGGTCTAAACCAAGACTGGATCAGGACTGGACCAGGACTAGACCAGGACTAGACCAGAACTGGTATAGAACTGAATCGAGACTAAACTAGGACTTAACCAGGACTAAACCAGTGTTGATCTAGCGGCCGAGTTGTGCGGATCGCTCCCCTCTCCTGGTTCTCAGTGTCGATCTAGCGGGCACTAGATATGGAGGATAAAGCCCAGCTAGTTATTAGCTAGTTATATTATTTAAAATGTTCCTTACTGCTTGCTGCTACACATGTCATCCAGGCCATCATCCTGCGAGAGTTGGCTCTCTTCTTGGACCTCTTCCCGTTTCTGCAGATCTGTTTTAACATATACGGCGATACGGGGCCATAGTAGAATTTGCCCCTGAAAAGCTCAAAACTGCTCATCAAAATTTCTACTGCAGCCTCCATATTTAAGCCGGAAATAGAGAAAAGGCGCAATTACCACAACAAACACTGAGATGCAGATTCGCATGGGACTAGTATTATCACCGGATGTCTGTGTTTGGCGAAATATAGTAGTTCATTTGCGATGTAATTTTTACTTTACAAATTACAGACATGGAGCATTCGCACGGGATTAAGATCTCAGGAATCCTCCGCTATTATTACAGTTCACCAAAGGTCCACAGGTTATACTAATCCTGTGTGAATAGAGTTTTTGTCTACATCCATCTCGACCGCTTTGTTTACTGTTGTGCTGTACCACAAAAGGGACCCAGACAGACGCTTGAGTTTGACGTCATGGCTTCACAGTTCTTCGCTGATTGGCCGGTGTGCGGTCTACAACTCCCGGGGTTCTTGTAAACCGTCTAGTGTATTCCGATTCCTGACCTAGTCGATGGAAACAAATCAAATTGAGCCGGAGGCACTAGGTGACACCAGTCTTGCTAACCTTTAAGAGAGACTAGTACAAAATAATAATGTGAGTCAAACATTCATGTCACTGTCAGGTGTTTTCCAGTACCAATAAAGGCCTATCTGATCTAAGCACTGTTTTCCCTTTCATGTGCACAAGTCTGTGATGCAGTTAATTCACACTATTTAACTTTTCTTCTTTAGAAAAAAATGTTAAATTTACTTTTTTTTCTTTGCTACATAATTCCATACATCTTACTTCATATATTTGATGTCTTTCTTTGTATGTCAAATGTCAAAGTAGTAAACATGTAGAAAAAACCTTGAATGAGAGGGTGTGTCCAAACCTTTCACTGGTAGTGTAGTAGGTTTCACTTAGTTTTCTTGTCTATCCTCAGGTCCTTAAAAAGCCCATATTGCGCTATTTCCTGATATGATAATATTGTTGCCACATCACAAACATATCTGGAGTTGTTGGATGAAAAAAGGAGATCCCAGACACTCTGATATATTTTGCTATGATTTTATTTCATGTCACATGCCCAAAGTTTTTATGGTTTTATGTTGGCAGGACTAAACGGGTCAGTCCACCTCAGTTCACTCAGTGAGTTAAACCCTTTGTCAAATTTTGATGAAACTTGGTATGTAGGTAAAGCATAGCCGGAAAAGCCAAAATTTCAAATTTTACTTTGATTGTACCAACAATTTCCGAGATATCACAATTTCATTTTTTCACTTTTTTGCGTGGTCACTGAATTTCTCATTGCATTTACTCAACAACTACTGGTTCGATATCAAAAACCAAGGTAACTCTGGAAAGGGGAAATCATGAGGAGTCCAAATCAATGACTTTTGGTACTGTGTGATTGATGGTTTTTTTGGAGTACCGTATTTTATGGAAGATTAGGCGCTCTGGGTTATAAGGCGCACTGTCATTAAATGGTCTATTTTCAATTTTTTTTCACAAATAAACCGCACCATACTTTAAAAGAAACACAACAGTTGGATGGGTCAGTGGTTTTGTTTGTTTGTGGCGTTCACGGTGACTCTGGGCTTTGTTCAATTGTGGTGCGTAGGGAGGGTGCTGTCTCGCACCGCTGGGGCCACTGGATCGATCGCGATGACTCAGTTGTTCAGTTGTTGCTCAGAGTGCCACATAGGACTCGCTTTTTCAGTTCGTTCCTCAGTTCCGTTCCTCGTCAGCGTGGAGTGATGAGTTTGGCTGTGGGTGTTTTTTGCTGTGTGGTTGCTGTCTGCTCTGTGTGTGTTTGCGTGTTCTGTGGGTGGTGCGGCTTTGTAGTTTACTGAAGTCTTGCTGGAACACCCGAGTGGATTTGTGTATGGGGAGCTCTGGATTGCTGGGCGCGCGGTTGTTTTTTGATGCAGTTAGAGGCTTAAGACCGCGGCTAATCGCCCGGAAAATACGGTATATCAACTTGGACTCTGTGTGTATAAGTGTCACTGAATGATTGATTGATAGCATTTTTATAGCGCCTTTCAAGATACTCAAAGCACTTTACAGTTCATTATTCAGTCACTCCACACTCAGTGGTGGTAAACTACTACTGTAGCCACAGCTGCCCTGGGGCAGACTGATGGAAGCGAGGTTGCCAATCTGCGTCATCGGCCCCTCCGACCACCACCATCACTCACGCTCACACCACTTTCATACTAGGCAATGTGGGTGAAGTGTCTTGCCTAAGGACACAGCGACAGTTTTTTGCCACAGGATATTTGGCACGTCTTAAGATGGAGGTAAGTCAACTTCTAGGTAAATTTGTGTGAAAATAAAAAAGAAAACCCCTCCAGATTTTTTAAATATGTTGTAGTAGATACCTTGGTTTTTGATATCAGACCAGTAGTTGCTGAGTAAATGCAATTTCAAATTCAGCGACCACGCAAAAAAGTGAAAAAATAAAATTGCAACATCTCAGAAACCGTTGGTCTGATCATGCTAAAATTTGAGATTTTGGCTTTCTTGGCAATAACTTACCCATACACCAGTTTTCTTAGCAATTGGACAATGTGAGTATTGCAATTCTTTTGGATGAATGGAGGTGGAAAACACAAATTTAAAGAACGCCCGGCAGAACATAAATATGCCATTTGTTCACAAAATACTGATTATCCAGTAGCCTGAATTCCTTGGTGATTGAGCATATAGGAAATGGCCCTCTCACCTTATCTGTAACACTCAGATTGCAGTTTTTCATATTTGCAGCTCCTGCCAATGTCTGTGTCATAGTACTTTTGTATAATATTCACTGGTGTATAATTCTTTTGTAAATGTGTCCTGCTGGATTTTCAATGTATGATTATTGTGATGCATCACTTTGTCCCTTTTTAAATATGTATGTCTAAAAATGTATATTTACACGGTTGTATCACAAGACGGTGTCATCATGTGACTTGCACATTTAAATAACTCTAACACACACCTGTGAGTTTTACGTTCCCTGATGAAGATGCAAAGTATATTGGACTGCCTCGGATCTCCTTTTTTCATCCAGTAAGTCATTTGCCCACTTGGGATCTCCCGCAGAGCACCTGATCGTTAGTATTTCACTTCAGCGGTGATCCAGCAAGCTCTCTACCATCGACTTCTTCTCAATATCTGGAGTTGTGTTTTGTTTCATTCACACATGCTTAATACAGGAAGTTCTGATCCATGTATCATTTGTTAATTAATTTTTCAATATAAAACCAAAAATAAGAAAACAAAAAAACAACTATTTTCTTTATTATTTGTCTCCAAAACCAAAATGAAAAAATGGATAATGATTCATTTTTTCAGTTTTCGATTTTGTGTTTAAATGAAGAATGGACAAAAAAGATAATGACTGTTTCCTGTTTCCATGACTTACACTGCGATGTTGGACTTTTGCGCCGCATATGGACTAAACCAGGACTAAACCAGGGCTAATCCAGGTCCGGGGCCAGACAGGAGCCAGACCAGGACTGAGACCAGACCAAGACTGAACCCGGGATCAGACCAAGACTGAACCCGGGACCAGACCAAGACTGAACCCAGGACCAGGACTGAGACCGGGACCAGACCGGGACCAGGACGTGGGGCACAAAACTCCGGCATCGTAGTTTAAGTCACGGAAACGGGAAATGGACATTATCTGTTTTTGGAGACAAATAATGAAGAAATGTATTTATTTTTTCATTTTCTTATTTTTGGTTTTATATTGAAAAACGAATGAACGAATGATACACGGATTAGTTCTCCACTGTGTTTTTAAAATCCTTACACCTTTACTGGAATCACTTGGATGATTTCAGCTTTGGAATTGCCCATCTCTGCTGAACAAAAGGTAAAAGGAGCTGCTAACTTGAAACTACCACTACATTTTGCATTTTGAGGTTAGGAGATGTAGACAAACTAATAAAAAAGGATTACCCAAACATGTATGAATGAAACAAAACACAACTCCAAGTACGTTTTTTAGGCGGTAACGACATTATAGCATGGTTTAAACCTCACAAAAGTCAATTTTGTTTGGGGTTGTGTGGGGTTTATCAGCAGAGCTCTACTTTACAGGGCGGATCTTCATGCTGATGGCCTTCAGGGAATAGTCATTTCCTTTCCACTGTTCCCACACCACACCAACAGCATAAAGAGTGTTGTCCTCACCCCAGCGATATGCTCCATTTGGGTTAGCATCGTGACAGTTGCAGTACCAAAAAGCTCCAAAAAACTTTTTAGCACAGTTGTCTGGCCAAGTATCCTGGTCGTTATCAAAGGTGGAGAACTTCATGCCGTTGTGAACAGCTAGACTATCTCCTAAAGAAAAGAAAAAAGTTTGTTTTTAAATCAGTTAAGTTACCCTGTGTGTTTTTTTCTTCTGGTGGAGAGCCTGCCTGCTTGTGTGTTGTTACTGCTGCCTTTAAAGTTCCACATTGTGGCATTAAACTGATCTATCTCCATGGATATAAGCAGGTGCATCAGTTCAAGTTACAGGTCAGAGCTGCATAAAAACAATACAAATGGTCACAACGATAAAAGCAATAAAATCAAATGAATAAACACAGGACCACACAACTGTCATGGTGTTAAAAGCCAGAGAATAAAAGCAGAAGGTGCATTGTGTAACTTTTCCGGTGGAGGGTCCGTCACCTTCTTGTTTCTACGGAAATATCATTCGAGACAAAGTGGAAACATCTCCATGGAGAAAAACAGATTCAGATTCAGAAAATTGTATTGATTGACTTCTCACACAAGTGGACCTCAATACAACAATATTTATTTATTTATTTATTTGTTTCTATGTTTATTTCATTCATAAAGTATAAAAAGACATTAACAGTGTCACAACATCAAACATACAAAAAATGAATGAAAAGGAGCAGAAAGAAGAGTCAGCCCTTTTCCAGACAAAACATCAACACTGATAGTTACTTTAAAACATTTCAAATCAGTGCATTTCAGTTCAGGCACAATTATTAATCAGTTGCAAACAGAAATCTTCACTATTATGCACAATTGCGTTACCTTTTTCTTACATACACATTGCACTGGATTTTATGTGTTTTTTAAATGCCATCATTGTACTTGATTTTGTTAGATCTTTGTCAAGATTATTCCATACATGAACTAGTTTCACAGTGATGCTTCACTCCATAACCTTGTTTTTTATTTACATATTACAATGCAAAACTTCAAAAAACACTACCATCAGAATTAAGCAATTTAATAGCAGAGGGCACAGAAGAATTAGAGAAGTGGTTTGTGCATCATGCCAAAGTCAGGAGCCAGAGGATGGAGGGGCTGAGCCAGGAGACAATTTTGCCAACACTTGCTCCTCCCACAGAGAATGCAGCTCTCTCAGTTTGACACTTTGAGCATGTTTGACGGATCCTGCACCAGAAAAGCTACGCAATGCACCTTTTAGTATGAGACTTAAAACACTCCACAAGGCACCGCAAGCTGGATTTTATTAGCGGAGAGTTGACTGTCCAGTGAAAATTGTTAAAACTAAAACAGTCAAGCCGTGAACCACACCTAGGTGGCGCCATTTTGGAATAAAAATTCAGTGTGAAGAGCTAAAATCAAAGGAAGACCATTATGATGATTATACTAAACTTTATAGTTATGGGTATTTTAAAGGTGCACTGACTTTTTTGATAAAAGGACCTATCTCCATGAAGATGTTATTGTTTTGTCTTGAGTGTTCCGCAGGATGGCATTAAAGGTATCTTTATCTACATTTCATAACAAGTGTTTAATGACTTGAAAACCTTCTTACAGTGAGCGGGATTGTCTAGCTACAGTAGTTTTCAAGTTGACAGCTACCTTTTACCTTTTGTTCTGTACAGATTGGCAATAGATGGATGGATTTATTGAAAAAGTGAGCATCAAACTGCCATGTTTGTTTTCCCAGTGGGATGTGTCTATTGACAAAGCTGATTTTTTTCAAGTCTTTTGAACCATATCACTTTTGTTTGTGGTTCTGATATTGTCATATTTTAGTTTTGGGATTTGGACATTGTAATTATGTGGTTGCTGGATTCTAACAGCAGAAAACGGCTCGAGAAATGGGCTTTGGCAGTTTGAGAACTCCATAAATGCAAAAGGGAATCAGATGTGTGTGATTGCAAACCTCTGTTCAAACTGTTTCCCTTCCCAACGAAACTGAAAAATAGTGAAAGGCGAAAGTGATGGGCAGGATTGATCCACAGGAAGGACCAAAAAGGAAACCTTTGGCTGCCTAAATCATCCTGAGTTTGCAGCCGACATTTTGTATGTGTAGTGCCATGAAAGCAGGATAGTTTGTTAAGCGAGAGGTACAGAAGACAAACAGGCTGAGCTCACACTTTCTTGTTTGACTTTACAGCAACATCACGTCTTAGTCTCTTTGCAGTGGAAGGTGTTTCTTGGTGAACAGTTGGTGCCTTTTGCTTTGGCGTTGACTTTTTAAATTCATAACCAAGGTTGAGCGAGGGATCAAGGATTTTGCTTTGATGGCGCTCTACATACAAAATGTTCGCTGCAAACACGGGATGATTTCTTAGGCAGCCAAAGGTTTCCTTTTCTGTCCTTCCTGTGGATCAATCCTACCCATCGCCTTCGCCTTTCACTATTTTTCAATTCCGTTGGGAAGGGAAACAGTTTGAACAGAGGTTTACAGTCACACAGATCTGATTCCCTTTTGCAGTTATGGAGTTTGCTTCCAAAGCCCATTTCTCGAGCCGTTTTCAGCTGTTAGGATCCAACAACCACACAATTACGATGTCCGAATCCCATAACTAAAATATGACAATATCAGAACCAGAAACAAAAGGGATATAGTTCAAAAGACTTGAAAACCCGGCTTTGTCAATAGACGCATCCCACTGGGGAAACAAACATGGTGATTTGATGCTCACTTTTTCTGAGAATCCTTCCCAGTTTGCATTGCACAATGACCGGAAGTCCAAAATTCGTGATGCATCTATTCTAAGACTGAAAACATCCAAATGATTCTAGTAAAGGTTTATGAAGTTTAAAACACAGTGGAACACCTTCCTGTATTACCACATATCATCACAAGGTGGAAGAGTATTTTTAGTTTGAGAGAAGAACTCAGCATAAACATGCAGGGTTTGTGTGTTAAACATGTGTGAATGAAACAAAACACAACTCCAGGTCTGTTTTGTGATAAGGAAACGAAACAACATTATAACATAGATCAGAAAATACTGCAAGATGGACCCTTAAACAGCAGAACAGTTCTTTGTGCAAGTCGCCTTAACTCTATTTTACAGGTCTGATCTTCATGCTGATGGCCTTCAGGGAGTAGTCACGTCCTTTCCAGCTGTCCCACTCCATACCAACGGCATAAAGGGAATTGTCCGCACCCCAACGATATATTCCATTTGGGTTAGTATCGTGACAGTTGCTGTACCAAAAAGCCCCAACAAACTTTTTAGCACAGTTCTCTGACCAAGTATCCTGGTCGTTATCAAAGGTGGAGAACTTCATGCCGTCATGAGTTACTAGACTATTTCCTATGAAGAAAATTAAAGGTTCAATATTATGTAAAATTGAGCCTGTGAGCTTGTAGCCATGTTGTAATCTTGTTACCTCAACAAAAACAAACCTGGAGTTGTGTTTTGTTTCATTCACACATGTTTGAGTAATCCATTATTATCAGTCTGTCTACATCTCCAAAGCTCAAAATGTTATGTCAGATAATATTTTATTGTGAAAATAAAACTAAACTGCAGAATAAAAAACAAATAAATAAGAGCTTGGGGCCACTGTGTGCGTACATGCTGTAGTTTTCATGTTAACAGCTCCCTTTTACTTTTAGTTCAGTAGTGACTGGAAATTCTAGAGTTGAAATTATCCAAATGAGTCTAGTGAAAGTGTAGGAGTTTAAAAACACAGTGGAGCACTTCCTGTATTACCACATGATATCATAAGGTGGAATAGGGTATTTTCTGTTTGAGAGAAGAACTAAATATGCAGGGTTTGTGCGTTAAACTTGTATGATTGAAACAAAACACAACTCCAGGTCTGTTTGTGATGAAGAAACTAAATTTGTTTTAGATTTTCTTATCTTAAAGGTGCACTGTGTAAATGATCGTCTTCATCATGTTCTATAGTTTGACGTTAAACCTAGACATCGAGTAAAGACAAATATGTGACACCACCAGGCAAAGTTACAGCTCAGATCTGTGGAGAGGGAGCCCACACACACTACAGTTCTGAGCAGAGTTGGGGACTTGCAAGTCGTGATTTGGACTCGAGTCAGACTTGAGTCACTATTTTTAGGACTTGAGGCTTGACTTGATAAAATGGACTAAGACTTGGGTCTCGACTTGGACTTGAAGGTCAGAGACTTGGGACTCGACTAGGACTTGAGGCCTGTGACTTGTTTTTTTTACAAAATACTTTTCTCTTTACAGTTGATAAATGCAGTGCTGAATTTTACAGGGACAAACTGAAACATGTCCATCCCACTTCTCCGTTTGTTACTTTGGATTTAACTGAAGTACTGTGATGTGGTATTCTCAAATGTACTACAGTAATATACAGTACAATATCGTAAAACCACATTTCAAACTTCAATTTCAATGCAGACTACTTGACAAAATAACTGTTATTAAGCACTTTTAAATGACTAAAACTAAGATCTTGTCAAGACATTTAAAAAGGAAAAATTAGCATTTCTACAACTCTTATATAAATACTCATATATAAATATACCATGTTGTTTTAAGTACAATTTAGCTTAAAATTCATATAAATTGCAAAAATCTAAGATCAAATTGGTACTTTGGTTTAAAGACTTGAAATGACTTGAGGCTCAAAGCAGACGACTTGGACTTGACGTGGACTCATGGACCAGTGACTCGAGACTCGACTTGGACTTGCCTGTATTTGACTTTGAGACTTGAGACTTGCAAAATAACGACTTGGTCCCACCTATGGTTCTGAGCAATAAAAACACTTGTAATTGAGACAGATGACTTTAATGCCATACTGTGGAACATTCTGGGAAGAGCTTCAACATCTTCATGATTTCCACCAGAAACGTTACACAATGCACCGTCAAGTGTAGCAAGATGTATTTTTATATTTTAAGTACAAAACGTCTTGTTGCATTGGTAGATCACTTTACTTGTCAAGTGAAATTTACTCAAATCATGATGAAACATTTTTAACTCAAGTAATTTTAACTGGACCCAAAACCAAAAAGTTACATAGTGTACCTTTTAAGTGTTGCATTCTGAATATTATTTTGAATATAGTTTATTGTATTTACTATGTTTATATGTGTTATTGAGACAGGCCTCAAGCTGCTTTTTGATTACTTTTGCGCTTTACAATGAACAAAATGTTGAATAATGATTTCTTCTGTAAAGGTGCATTGTGGTACATTTCTGGTAGAGGGTTGTTTCTATGGATATTTCATTGCCCTGCCTAAAATGTTCCACAGTATGACATTAAACAGCTCTACCTTACATTTATTCAATTACCGGTCGTTTTACAGCTCAGTAATACCTAAAAAAAAACAAGCATCCTGACCGTGAGTGGGGTCGCCTCTCCACAGATCTGACCTGTAACTTGGCCTGGTTAGGTCAACATGAAGATCCTGTCGTTGTATCCTTGGGCAAGACACTTATCCCCGTGTATGACTGGGTGAGTGGTTTCTTGTTGTAAAGCGCTTTGAAAAATCTGACCAATGTGTTAGAAAGGTTTAATGTCATATTGTGAAACTCTCCAGACAAAGCAGTAACATTTCCACGGGGGAAAGCTTTTGACTGGCCACCACTAGAAAAATTACACAATGCATCTTTAAATTACTCACGTGCTCCTCCATCGATGAAGCCTGATACCTGCAGTTTGTACCCGTCACACTCAGAGCCAACAGAGAAGGACGAGTATCTGGCTGAGGCTTTGTTCCCCTCAAAGTCCTCCATCTCCACCAACAGCTCGTGTGGTTTTCGACTGGACAACATGTGAATAAACTCCAGACCTGAAGATAATAACAAATAAATAAATATATAAATAAATAAATAAAACCAATAAGATAAGATAAGACAATCCTTTATTGTCTCCATGGGGGAAATTTGTCATGGGACAGGGTGTTACGTTTGGGCATCTTTTGTTTTCCCCCTGTTTTTTGTTGTCGATATTTTTTGTCGCATTTTTTTTCCCTAGTTTTGCTTTTGTAAGTTATAGTTATGTTTTTGTAGCTGATGTTACCCTCATTTCCGGCAGGAGCTGTGAAATCCTCCTCCTTGCTGGCTCCCCTGTCTCCTTCATTTTGGGAGCTTTTTCTTAGACATTAGCCTTTTGTTTTGTCCTGGTGGGACCGGCTGTACGGAAGCCGAGAGGGGTCACAACAAACGCAAACGCCGCAACAAATACAAATGCGACAACACAACAAAAAGTCACAACACACCTAAAAAAAAAAAAAGCCACAAAGGAAATGACCGCGGGACTCTATTTTAATGCAAACGCCGCAACAAATACAAACGCCACAACACAAACGCAAATGCCACAACACATTAAAAAGCCACAACACATTAAAAAGTCACAACACATTAAAAAGTCACAACGGAAGTGACCGCAGGACTCTATTTTCCGATGGACCGATCAAGCAGCAAGTGAAGAAGAAGAACTACAACGTGAAAAGTAAAGGAACGGAGAAGTTGGAAACGTAAGTAAAAGTAATTTATTGTTTTATCATTATTCATTTCACGTTGTAGTTCTTCTTCTTCACTTGCCGCTTGATAGATCCGTTGGAAAATGGAGTCCCACGGTCACTTCCGTTGTGGCTTTTTGATGTGTTGTGGCGTTTGTATTTGTTGCGGCATTTGCATTAAAATAGAGTCCCGCGGTCATTTCCGTTGTGGCTTTTTGTTGTGTTGTCGCATTTGTATTTGTTGTGGCATTTGCGTTTGTTGTGACCCCTCTCGGCTTCGGTACGGCTGGCCTGTTTTCGCTTTTCCGTTGGGTTTAGGTTTGTTGTTTTTTTGGGGTTTTTTTGTCTTTAGTTGAGGGTGTTGGTACCGGCTTCTATTGCCCTGTATGGGGTTCGCCCGGTATTGCACCTTTTTGTTCTGTTTGGCCGGCTCATCAAGTCCACCTTTCTGTTGTTACTTTTTCTTAGTTTTTTGGGCACGGGTTAAGGGTTTTCTTTTTTGGTTCCTACACTTACAAAGTCAGAAAAAAACAAAAAAAAACATCTCTAATGCTTAATTTTGGGATAATGTAATGTTGGGATAAATTTTTTGGGTTGTAACACTGGGGGTCATATGCTTTGTTTTTTAAATTAACATAATTATGATTATTCTCAAGGTTGAGTTGAAACCTCCAAAATACTGTTGAAACTCTCTTACACATACACACACGCACACACACTTGACACATTGTCCTGTCTACAGTTTATTAGGTGGAGCGTCCGTCAAAAACTTGTCTCCATGGAAATGTTATGGCTTTGTCTGGAATGTTTTACACTATTTCATCAAACCTTTCTATCTTCAAGGAAACCAAACCTGACCACGTTTCAGAATGCATGTTATTATAAGTATTTCTGAGTTGTTATTGAATAAATGTAAGGTAGAGCTGTTTAATATCACACTGTGGAACATTCCAGGCAGAAGTTACACACTGCACCTTTAATATTACGGACCCAAAACATGCCAGAAATACAATCCTTTTTTTTTTTTTTTTTTTTTTTTACCAAATTGCTGATTTCTCATGAACCACCTGGCAACCCTTTGTGTCTTACCCAGCCAGTGCTCTCCGTCAGCTTCACCAAAACCAGTCTTGTACTGACTCCAGGGTCTGTAAAAGTTCACCGTTCCATCCATTCTCCTCTGAATCACCTTGGTGCACAACAGAGCTTTAGACCAACTTATAAGGGCACTGCTTATAGTAAAATAATACAAAGTAATACAAGAAGTAAAAGCTTTTCAAATATCAAAATAGTAAATTCTCAGTGTAGGGCTGTGGTTCTTTAGTCAGTGTTGGTTGATTGGGTCTTGGTCAACTGAAATTGTATTAATTGACTTTTATGACGATTATAACGATATGAAAGTCCTGCACCGGGTCAGTTATTTGCGGGTACCCAACGAGTACGGGCAATTAGTTGCTGAAACGGGCGGGTTTTAACGTTCTGGAATTTTATGGGAGGGTATGCTGGCAGAAAGTGATTACACACGGGCGAGGGTCAGGACTAATCCAGGACTAAACCAGATCTAAACCAGGATTAATCTTGGATTTAAGAGAGAAACCCAAGCCCGTGGAGCAGGGTGTCCACTAAACGTGTTTGGGCGACGGCTGCCCTTACCTCCGTGGGGAGTGGAGGTCTACGCCGGTCCTTTTACCCAGGTCACCCAGCGGTCTACACGGGTGCACCTCCAAGCCCGTCCCGAGTCCTGGTTCAGTTGTGGTTTAGTCCTGGTTTAGTCCTGTTTTAGTCCTGTTTTAGTACTAGTTCAGGCCTGGTTTAGTCCTCCTGGTTCAGTTCTGGAATCGGTCCTAGGTTAGTCCTGGTTCAGTCCATGTTATTGTTTCTTCTGCTCAGTAAATAAAGCCTGTGCAGTGAAACCTGTGAATTCGTATTCGGACTGAAGAAAGCACAACTGTTTCATTTCATATCGTGATAGTAATTCTTGAAGTCATAACTTTTCAATTCATATTTTGATGGATGTTTCAGGTAGAATGCTTTTAATTTGTGTGTGATTTATCATGGCCACAGGCAATTAACGGGTGGAATGTTAACGGGTCCGGGCGGGTGCGGGTTTAAATTTTATATAATCACAGGTTAGTGCTGGTGCGGTGCTGTACTGCGTGCGTGCGAGCCTCCAAACATGGACCTTTGCAGGACTCTGAAAGATTTATATGGGACAACAGTAGAAAGGAGAAGTGAGTGAACTACAATATGTCAGATGCAGATTAAAGACTTGATTCACAAGTTTAATCTATTGTCTCCTCGTATTTTTCCTGTTGTTTTTGTATAAACTCTCTCTGCAGGTGTAGTTTTGTGAGTGCACTTTGTGCCAGATAATAGTTTTGAGAGCTTTTGCCACGCCCTCTTTCTAGTGGACCAGTTGAAATGTTTTTAGAATTTCTTTAGCTCATTCAAATATGGACAATGTAAACTGAAAAAAACATACCGTCCAGCCACCCCCATCTGTTGCCAGGTCACAGTACGCCTGAAAAATGAGATGTGATTAGTTCATGTGCAATGTTCAACAATATGGCATTAAGGGGCTCATATTACACCATTTTCTGATCTGTTATAATGTTGTTTCCTCTTAAAAACACACCTGGAGTTGTGTTTTGTTTCATTCACATGTTTGAGTAGTCCTTTATTATTAGTCTGTCGAAATTTCCAAATCTCAAAAAGCTCTGTTCCGCCTTGTGGTGTCAAGAAGCGGTAGTTTTCACATTATCTGGTACCTTTTATAATTTTTTTCTGTTGAAATTTTCAGTTCCAGAGCTGAAATTATCTAAATGATTCGAGTGAAGGTGGAGTTTAAAAACACAGTGGAGCACTTCCTGTATTACCACATGACATCACAATAGAAGTGTTTTGTGTTTGAGAGAAGAACTCAGCCTAAATATGTTTTTTGTGTGTTTGGCCCTTACATATAGTCGGGTCAAATTTTACCCATTTTGACATTCAGCAGTAGTAAAAATACACTAATCATCATTCTTTGATCCTGAAATTTGATGACTTTTCCTTAATTTTGCCAAAATATACAAAAATTAACGTATTTTTAAATTTCATACTTTTGTATAAGTGCTACAAATTTTTGGACACTGAGGCTGGTTCGGATCAAGTTTGATCCAAATCTATTGAGATGGATTTTACTTCTATCAGCGTGGTTCAAATGAAGCAAAACAGAAGTTTTAGTGAATCTTGAAACTGTGAAACTGTACAGACCATATTTGTGTGTATTTTTTTATGGGACAGTGGTGACAGAGTTCAAGAGTTCCTGATCATCATGTTTAAGGTGCACATTAGGAACAGAAATCAATCAAGGGGGGAGAGATATTTTCTTCTAAGTTTGTTTTCACACAGGACTAAATAGATCTGTAGTTCAAAATTTGGTATAGACACTTACTATGAAGGAATTCTTGGTCCGGGTCAAATTTGACCCCAACCATACTGTGAAGGCTTAAGAAATGAACGGTTTGTAAAGGTTAACATGTGTGAATGAAAAAAAAAACACAACTACAGGTCAGATGCAGAAAAGAGGTCGAGCGCTTCACTGGGTCATAAAATAGTAAAAAAAAATAGCAGTACAGGTGCTCTATGAGGGTTAAACTAGTAATCTTAACAGAAAAGTGCCATTACTGGAAAATGTAAAAGTGGGCAAGGGAGAAACCCAAGGCACTCTGACTGAATATATTAAAAGTCTTTTATTGCATGAAGGGACGCCAGTGCCAATGTTTTCACCAACAAGATGGTCTTCGTCTTTTCCCTTGCCCTATTTTACATTTTCCAGCAAGGGCACTTTTCTGTTTAAGACATTTCCAGGTCTGTTTGTGATGAGGAAACAGTGTAACACAGATCAGAAAATGGCGTAATATGGGTCTTTTTAACATTGCATCACCTGAACTCCAAATTTCTCTCCGTAAGGATGGATGGTGTAGACTCCACTCTGACGGGACTGGTATTTGTAATCATTGTGTTCGAGGATGTCATTGCAGTCCACAGGTTTTGGCCAAGCTCCACAGTCTCTCAGCAGTGAAGATAGAAACAAGAGTACTGCCAACTGGAACACAGATAAATATTGATAATTTAACGTAGATCTAAAGGTGCATTGTGTAACTTTACTGGTTGTGTGCTTAAGTCCATGGAGATGTTATTGCTTTGCCTAAAATTTTCTGTAGTAAACTTATCCATCTCCATAGAGACAAGCAGGAGACCCCAGTATAGACCAATTTACAGGTGACCCACACTCACAGTAATAATACATGTTTTTAAAGATGTTTTTGAGCGATAAAACACCCATGATTAAATAAATGCATCTTATTTATGTTTAATATCATACTGTGGTACAATACAGGCAAAGCAAAGTATATCCATGGTGGCTAAACCCCAACCTGAAAAGTTAAGCAGTGCACTTTAAAGGCACTGTACCTGATTTTTACTGTCTTAAAAAAACGTGAAAAACAGAAGTAGTAATTTTATTTTCTTTAACTTTTTTTCAATTTTAAATATATATTCAACATAAATAAAACTAGACCAAAAATAAATAAATTATTAAATAAATAAATGAATAAAACTCCCACAGCCCACTTCTCTTTACACACTTAACATTTAGACTAAAATCTACACAAACATTTTCCCCCTTAGAGTGTGGAGAATCTGCAATTTAAAGGTGAGTTGTGTAATTTGGGGGGTCCATCAAGTGCTTTTCTCCATGGAGATATTATTCCTTTGCCTGGAATGTTTCACAGTATGGCATTAAACCTTTCTATCTACTTGGAGACCAAACCAAGACCAAGATACAGGTCAGATCTGTGGAGAGGCGACCCCGCTCACAGTCAGAATTTTTCTAGGTATTTTCAAGCTCTAAAACCACCTGTAACTGAAAAAATGTAAGGTTTAATGTCATACTGTGGAACATTCCAGTCAGAGCAATGACATATCCATAGAAACAAGCAGGTGACGCACCCCCAACCAGTTAACATACACTGCAAAAAAAAGCTTGGCCAAAATTTAAGATATAAACACTTAAATCTATCCGAAAATGAATTAAAAGTAGTGAAGTGAAATGATCTGTCCATGCATCAAGATATCTTAAAATAAACTCCCTCTAGACTAGAATTAAGCAGTCTCAGAACTAATAAGTAGATAATAAATCTGAAAACCAGATGAATGACCTGCGATAAGTTTGAAAATCTTGGCCAGATCAGAAAAATTTGCAGTGTAGTGCACCTTTAAACAGTTCTTCCTCACTTACCTTATTCAATCTGAGCATCCAAATTATTCACTATGATTTGTTTATGAGTTTTATGTTTTCCCTAAGTAAAACATTTTCCTTGTATTTTGCTCAAATTCATGGAAAATACCAGCAGAGTATCATACTAAACATTTTAGTGTCACCCCATTTGACCCCACTTTAGTCCGTCCTGCTGCCCTGAGTTCAGTTCTGTTTTAGTCCTCCTTTAGTTCTGGTCTAGTCCAGGTTTAGGTCCGTGTTTAGTCCTGAGTTAGTCCAAATGCTGATGTGGTCTGTCAAATAGTTAAAGGGCCCATATTATGCTGTTTTCTGATCGATGTTATCATGTAGTTTCCTCATCACAATCAAACCTGGAGTTGTGTTTTGTTTCATTCACACGTTTAACGCACAAATTCTGCATATTTAGGCAGAGTTCTTCCCTCAAACAGGAAACACTCAGTTCCACTTTGTGATGTCATGTGGTAATACAGGAAGTGCTCCACTGTGTTTTTAAACTCCATACACCTTCACTAGAATTAAACTGGAAATTCCAATCTCTACTGAACAAAAGGTAGAAGGAGCTGTTAACTTGAAAACTATCGCTTTATGACATCACAAGGTGGAACAGAACATTTGGAGCTTTGGAGATGTAGACAAACTAATAACTAGAAAAGCACTCAGAGAGCGCAGACCTCCGCCAAGGACTACAGTCCCCCTTATATTAATTGTGTTTTCCATAAATATTTGTCTCGTATCTTTCAATTTGGAATATGAAAGAGGATCCCATTGTCCATCCCTGAGTCAAATTTCATGGGGTTTGGTCAATAATTAACCGAGATATTGAGAAACAAAATTTTTGGCCCCATTTACCACAATGTTAACTAAAATTTCAAAGTGATCCAGAATCCAGGATTTCTTCCGGGTCACCCCCAAAATGAGATCAGTTTTTCCTTTTCACATTTCCAACAAATCCTGAAAATTTCATCAAAATTGGTCCATAACTTTTTGAGTTATGTTGCTAACAGACAAACAAACAAACAAACAAACAAACAAACAAACAAACAGACAAACAAACAAACAAACAGAAAAACGCCGACAAAAACATAACCTCCTTGGCGGAGGTAATAAAGGATTACTCAAACATGTGTGAATGAAACAAAACACAACTCCAGGTCTGGTTTGGAGGAGGTAACAACATTATTACATGGCTTAAAGCTCAGAAGAATACATTTTGTGTAATATAGGACATTTAAAGTCTGAGCTATAATATTTACAGTTGATCACACTAATTTATTGTCAGGCTTTTAAAAAATAATATACATATATATATTTGTTTATGTAATGCAAACAAGACAGTAAGGAACAGAAGAATAGACAAAAATGAATAATTACACAGGGTAAAATACACTGCAAAAAACAATATCTAGGTAAGATAAAATAACATTTGACTTGATTTGAGTAGATTCAACTTAAGTAAAATTATCTACTAATGGAGTAAGTGTGTTTTTTCTTAATTCAAGCAACATTTTGCTTTTTAAGTGCAAAAAGTTGTTGTTTTTCTTATCTCTTGTGTGTGCAGCAAGATGTATTTTCATATTTTAACTATAAAATGTCATTTTCCATTGGTAGATAATTTTATATGTCAAATGAAATTCACTCAAATCTCAATAAAACTATCCTAATTCAAGTATTCGTAACTTGTCTAGATTAGAGTTTTGTTTTGTTTGTTTTTTTGCCATGTACATGTAAGTGCTCAGTCTGTAAGTGTAAGTGTAAGTGTAAGTGTAAGTGTAAGTGTAAGTGTAAGTGTAAGTGTTCATCTTACCTTCATTGTCAGATGTCTGTTGAAGCAGATGCACAAAATTCACTCACAAACCCAAAGAATGTTTTGTAAATGTGTAGATTCTGCTTTAATAACCTGCTTTTTATTGCTGCTGTAGCAGGAAGTGGGACAACCTTGTTCAACCAATCAGAATCAGAGCTCAGGACTATTTATTCAGTTGCTCAATAAATGACTAAATGTGTGAAGGGCACAGGGTTCTAGTGTGTTTTTAATTCATAATAAAGTACAACGGTTATTAACATTGCAAAACAGTCTTTTTGTGAGCAATTTTAGGTTAAGATTGATCTAGTTAGTAGGCCAATTATCAGACTTTTGTTTAAAGTATGACAGGGTTCAGCTAGTTCTCAAATTACACTAGTCATTTTTCTGTCCTTAACTGCACTACAGAACTCTACACGTGTGTTGACTGTCACTGTTTGAGCTCGAGCTTGTCAGGTGACAAAAATTCAGCGGCAAATGTAAATATGTCATATAATTATTTAAATATAAATACTTCATATAAATATCATTTTTTAACTGAAAAAGATCCAACAAAATACAAGATGCAGATTTGCCAAAAAGTAATAAAAAAATAGGCCATGAATACTTTTGAGGGTTGCCTCAAGTGGGAAAGTTCAAGTGGGGAAGTTCAAGTGGGGAAGTTCAGGTGGGTAAGTTCATTTGGGGAAGTTCAGGTGGGGAAGTTCATTTGGGGAAGTTCAGGTGGGGAAGTTCAGGTGGGGAAGGGCAGGGGGGCCGGGCAAAGAGGCGTGACGGCATGCATAAAGCTGCTTTTACGCCTAAGCCTATTCCAAAACTAAATGAGAAACCTATTCAGTCTAATTCTAAAATAGTTGCTAAGCCTCAAAAGCCAAAGCAATGTTTTTATTGCCACAAAACTGGTCACCTTGTAGATGAATGTGATGCTCTAAAGCTCCAACAGCCCATGCCCAAATCAAAAGGTGCTGGTCTTATTAAACCTTTCCCTGTTGTTTGCTCGTTCTTACTCCAGACGAGTGTTTCAGGCCTTTTATTTTTGAGGCTTTTGTTTCCGTACCGGTAGAAGTTAAGCACCTGGTTTCAGTATTGCATGATACAGGTGGCTTGCAGTCATTCGTTCTTTCCGGTGTGTTGCCTCTGGGTTCAAAAACTGTCTCTTGAGCACCGTTGTGAAGGGCATTGGTCTAAATTATGTCCCAGCACCGCAGAATAATGTCAAAGTCAGTTAGTGGGATATTTCCAGTGGTTGTTCATGACCAGTTTCCTATTGATGGAGTAGATTTTAACATGGGAAAAGATATTGCAGGTGGAAAAGTTTATCCCTCTCCTGGAGTTGTCAGTCAGTTTATTCCTGGTTTTGAAAAAGATGAGTTGGCCAAACAACATCCTGAAGTGTTGTCCGTGAGTGTTCTGACCTGAGCTCAGGCTAAAAAGTTGCCTCAGGAGAGTGGTGTTGATTTGTGTGACTCTGTACTTTCTCCTGTTTTCTAAGAGGACAGTGCGCCCTCTTCTGGCCAAAATGAGAGTGACTCCAAGGTCAAAGATAAAAGTGAGGAGTCAGAGCCAGTTTCTCCTGTGCCTTCACCATTAACCTGTGAAGCTCTCATTAAAGCCCAAAAGTCTGATTCTAACAAAGTGTTTTTCTGCTTTAGAGTCTCCAGATGACAGTTCTTCCTTGACAGTGGAGTATTGATGGGGTTCTGAAGGCAGGTAACAGCCCTGACACTAGTGACTGGTGCTCAGTTTTCCCAGATAGTGGTTCCTAAAAGTTACAGACAGAATCTCTGGCTCATGAACATTTGTGGTCCGGCCATATGGGTGTTACCAAAACCTATAATTGTGTCCTGCAGCACTTCTTTTGCCCAGGTTTGAAAGCTGATGTGATTAGCTTCTGTAAGACCTGTACTACCTGTCAGTCTGTAGGTAAACCAAACCAAGTAGTACCGCCCTCCCCACTACGTCCTGTGCCTGTTGTCAGTGAGCCATTTGAGCTTGTCACTGTAGATTGTGTTGATCCTCTGCCAAAAACAAAATCAGGTAACCAGTTTCTGCTAACTATAATGTGTGTTACCACCCGCTTCTCAGAGACCATCCCCCTGCAAAAAACAACTGTCCCTTAAGTTACTAAGGCATTTACCAAGTTTTTTCACAACATTTGGTCTTTCTAGGGTTGTAGAGACAGATCAAGGCTAGTACTGCTCGATTATGGAAAAAATTATTATCACGATTATTTTGGTCATCATTGAAATCAGGATTATTGAAACGATTATTTTTTAGTTACATTCTCTCTCAAAAAAAAAGCTTTGTTACTGAAATACTTATATACTGAAATACTTATTTATATTAAAAAATGTCCCAAAACAAACTTTGTTAAGCTTTAGGGTGCACTCACACTAAGACTTTAGAACTGTATCATACTCAGAAACAGTTGAGTAGGGTTCTGTGTCCCACACTTATACCTACACGACCGAACCGGGCCACAGCCGATGACGTCATCACACAGCACTGTTTGTTTACATGTGGAGCAGTAGCGCTAACGCTTTAGCAGAGAAAAATAAGTCCAGCGGCAGAAATATCTATTAAATAGTGAGGCAGATATGAGTCCTGCCACGATACACGCTCCTCCATGATGGATATGGACGTTTATGGATATAATAACAGCACGGAGCAGTGAGGACAGTCAGAGATGAGGACAGGAGGAGTGAGGACAGTCAGAGATGAGGACAGAAGCAGTGAGGACAGTCAGAGATGAGGACAGGAGGAGTGAGGACAGTCAGAGATGAGGACAGGAGGAGTGAGGACAGTAAGAGATGAGGACAGAAGCAGTGAGGACAGTCAGAGATGAGGACAGGAGGAGGAGTGAGGACAGTCAGAGATGAGGACAGGAGGAGGAGTGAGGACAGTCAGAGATGAGGACAGGAGGAGGAGTGAGGACAGTCAGAGATGAGGACAGGAGCAGTGAGGACAGTCAGAGATGAGGACAGGAGGAGGAGTGAGGACAGTCAGAGATGAGGACAGGAGGAGGAGTGAGGACAGTCAGAGATGAGGACAGGAGGAGGAGTGAGGACAGCCGGAGACAATGCTGCAAAAAGTTTGTCTCTGTCACAGTCCTTATTGAAGGTCAGCTTGTGTGTGTGTTAGAGCAGATTTTATTCACAGTTTTTATTGTATGAGTGACATCAGGGCACCTGACAGGGCTCGTATAGTTGTGCATGTGCATGTACATGAGCAATCGTGTTGTGTTTTGGCCCACCTCCACCAACCAGGCCAAAGTCCCATCTGTGCCGTGCCTGGGCACAGTTCGATGGCGCTCACACTGGATAAATGTATCAAAGCTTTCGGGGTGATCCGTGCTCTGTCCATCTGAACTAATGTTTGGTCATCGTATCCGTAGGCCGTGACCCACTGAAAGAACTTGAGGAGAAGTTTTTGTCCTCAGGGAATGTGTCAGATTTTGTTGCTAAATGCAGAGAAAAGGTTACAGCAGGTCACTAAGTTAGTTAAGGAAGCTCTCTCTTCTTCATTGGACAGTATGAAGAAACATTTTGATAAAAAGGCTGTGGCCCATCACTTTAAGCCTGGTGATAAGGTGTTAGTGTTGCTTAATACTTTTGGCTCTGCTCTCTCAGCCTGTTTCTCTGGCCCCTTTGTTGTTGAGAAGAAAGTGTCTGACACAAACTACATCGTTCTTTCACCTGAGAGGAGAAGTTCATGTTAATATGCTCAAGCCTTTTTATGTGAGGGAGGAGGAGAAGCCAGCTCAGTCCTTGTTAGCTGTGTCACCTGTGTGTTTTGGAATATGAACGAAGGAGGATTTTGAAGAGCCTAGTGTTGCCCAACAGTGTGGTCGGCTGTCAAACTCTGAATTTAGGCACTATATCTGTCATATCTCAGTGAAGACCAACTTAATGACATCTTGGCTTTATTTCAGTCCTACACCTCCTTGTTTGGTGACACTCCAACTCAAACTAATGTACTTGAGCTTGATACTGATGTAGGCTCTGCTGCTCCTATCAAGCAGCATGCATATTGTTGTCCTTTAACCAAGCGTGAGGCCATGAAAAAGGAGGTTAAATACCTGTTAGATAATGGCCTGGCCAAACCCGGCCATAGTCCATGGAGTTCTCCTTGCCTCCTTGCTCCATAAAGTTAATACAGTTACTGCACCAGATTAATTTCCTCTGCCACGTATTGGGGACTGTATTGACACTGGCCCTGCAGTGCACATTACTAAGTTAGACCTGTTAAAAGGCTACTGTCAGGTTCATTTACCTCCCAGAGCTTCTGGTATATCTGCCTTTGTAACACCTGACCATTTCATGCAGTATACTGTAATGGCCTTTGGCATGAGAAATGCACCTGTCACATTCCAACACCTTATGCACCTTGTGCTTAGTGATGTGTCCAACTGTAATGTTTATCTAGATGATATAGTTGTCTACTCAGATACTGGTCTGAACACATCTGCACCTTACATGAAGTTTTTACAAAGTTGTCTCAAGCTCAGTTGATGCTCTAGCCATATGTGACTTCTCTTGGAAAGGAAGTTGGTCAAGGAAAGGTACTGTCCGAAATGTGAAAGTTGTAAAAGTTGAAGTTGCAGCTGTACTTACCTACCCCTACTACTCGTTAAAAACCCGGAGCCTCCATTGCAGCGACTTCAGTTCTTTATTTTTGTGTTACTTACACAGTTGTTTTTTTTTACACAGGTAGTTTTGTGATTGTGTTCACACAATTGCTTCAATAAATCAAACTTCTTGATTCAAGACAACTTTTCAGTTCTTTTTAATGTTTACAGACTAGAAATTACACAACAACCCTTAAACAGCAGAACAGTTCTTTGTCCAAGCCACTACAACTCTACTGTGCAGGTCGGATCTTCATGCTGATGGCCTTCAGGGAGTAGTCATATCCTTTCCAGGTTTTCCACTCTATACCAGCGGCGAAAATGGTACCATCCGCACCCCAGCGATATATTCCATTTGGGTTAGCACTGTGACAGGTGTTGTACCAAAAACCCCCAAGGTACTTTTTAGCACAGTTTGCAGACTGAGTATCTTGGTCATTGTCAAAGGTGGAAAACTTCATGTCGCTGTGATTTAATAGACTATTTCCTATGAAGAAAAATTAAAGGTTCTATATTATGTAAAATTGAGCCTGTGAGCTTGTAGCCATGTTGTAATCTTGTTACCTCAACAAAAACAAACCTGGAGTTGTGTTTTGTTTCATTCACACATGTTTGAGTAATCCATTATTATCAGTCTGTCTACATCTCCAAACCTCAAAGTTATGCTAGATTTTATTGTCAAAATAAAACTAAACTGCAGAATAAAAAAACTAATAAATAAGAGCTCGGGGCCACTGTGTGCGTACATGCTGTAGTTTTCATGTTAACAGCTCCCTTTTACTTTTAGTTCAGTAGTGACTGGAAATTTCAGGGCTGTAATCATCCAAACGATTCTAGTGAAGGTTTCGGAGTTTAAAAACACAGTGGGGCATTTTCTGTTTGAGAGAAGAGCTAAATGTGCAGAGTTTGTTCCAGGTCTGTTTGTGAGGAGGAAACAACATTATAACATAGATCAGAAAATGGCGTAATATGAGCCCTTTGTGTTGTTGTTTTTCTTATCTTAAAGGTGCACTGTGTAAATGTTCTGGTGGAGAGTCCAGCATTTTGTCATCTTTATCAAGACCTATATATCTCAGTAAAGACAAATATGTGACATCACTAGGCAAAGTTCCAGGTCAGGGGCCTCGTTTAGAAAGGACAGCAATGTTTCCCACAGCAGTTTATAGTTAAGGCGGCCACGTTGACTACGTCCCTACGAACGTTAAAGACTTAAACAAGGTTTAACAAATAAATACAGAACTAAAAGTGACAATGACTCATCTGTTCATTTAATAATATTTCATAATATTTAGACAACACATCTTTGCAGTAAAGCCAGTGTGGTTTCTTGCTGTTTCAAGAGTTTTATCGCTATATATTTAAGTCTGCCTATGAAGTGTGTGGACTGGTTCTGTTCATGCACATATACTAGTAGATAACGTGCACACAGGGGTCTGAATGGTCAAAGGAGGAAGAGGGCTATGAGCGTCTGTGAGAGATTCAGATGCCCTCCCCGGGACAGTGAAAAGAGCAAAGGAGGAATACGAGGATCAGTGGCCAGAGGATCAGTGCTTTGGCAGGTGAAGTACAGATTTAGCGCGTAACACATCAGATACAGATCAGGAGCTGTTATTCTGCCAATAAAATCCACATGGAACATTCAAACTGCTGACCTCTGTGAGTGTGGGGCTGGGTCTGACCTCTGTGAGTGTGGGGCTGGGTCTGACCTCTGGGTCAGGACGGGCACAGACATTATTCTGTTCTTCATACTGTCAGAGAGCAGCTCCCATTTGCAAGAGCTCCCCGTTACACAAAAATGTAGGGAATATTTAGGGTTTGGTTCAGGTTCAGCCAGTAGGCTTTGTGTCGTGTGCAGACTTGGGCCACTCAAAAGTAAAAGTGTTAAAGTTGTGTTTAGTCCCTGTGCTTCTTTAAACCAAAGCCTGGCTCCTGTGCTCTGAGGAAAGAGATTTCTCTCAGGTCCAGTCATTATTTCATCTTTTTTGTTGGGTCACAGACTGTGTTCTATAGAAGTTTGTGGTCGCAGTGTGGACTGAGGGGGACCCTGCCCTGTACTGGAAAGTGGCTGCACTCGTGCATTAGTTTCAAATGTATAATTTGTCAAGAATAATGAGTGGAATAAACAGCCCTTCTCAGTGTTTTGGCTAACCTCTGCTGAAATGCACAGAACTGAATGTAATTCTTTTATATGTGTGCATTTTCTGATGATTTCCTGATCAAACACTTCCTCAAACTCTTCACTTCTGCTCCTGTCCACGAGTGTCTCTTTTCCCCTGTGTCTGCAGATTTTGCGTAGAGCTTTCAACAGGGTCCTAGCTGCCGTAGCAAACCTTGGGCAAATCTCTCAACCCTCCTCGCCCACAGAGTCTGTGTACACTGGAGTATGTGTGTGTGTGTGTGTGTGTGTGTGTGTGTGTGTGCGTGTGTGTGTGAATGTGAGTCCTTGTTGTAAAGCTCTTTGAGTGCCCTGAAGGTGGAAAAGTGCTATAAAAAATGTGACCGATGTGACAGAAAGGTTTAATATCATACTGTGAAACTCTCCAGACAAAGCAGTAACATTTCCACGGAGAAAAGATTTTGATGGGCCCTCCACTAGAAAAATTACACAATGCATCTTTAAATAACTCACCAGCTCCTCCATCGATGAAGCCTGATACCTGCAGTTTGTACCCGTCACACTCAGAGCCAACAGAGAAGGACGAGTATCTGGCTGAGGCATTGTTCCCCTCAAAGTCCTCCATCTCCACCAACAGCTCGTGTGGTTTTCGACTGGACAACATGTGAATAAACTCCAGACCTGAAGATAATAACAAATAAATAAATAAAAGCAAAATGAAATCAATAAAAAATAAAATCAATATCAAATTTGGCTAAACAACCCTCCACAGAAAAGTTACACACTGCACCTTTAATATTACGAACTCAAACATATCAGAAATACAATCTTTTAGTTTGCTGCAATTTGCTGATTCTCAAGGACCACCTGGCAAACCTTTGTGTCTTACCCAGCCAGTGCTCTCCGTCAGCTTCACCAAAACCAGTCTTGTACTGACTCCAGGGTCTGTAAAAGTTCACCGTTCCATCCATTCTCCTCTGAATCACCTTGGTGCACAACAGAGCTTTAGACCAACTTATAAGGGCACTGCATATACAGTAGAAAAATAATAATAATCATCATCATCTTCATAATCATAAAAAGTAGTACAACAAGTAAATTATCAAAATAGTATATTCTTAGTACTGGGCTGTGGTTCTTTAGTCAGTGTTGGTTGATTGGGTCTTGGTCAACCAAAATTGTATTAATTGTCTTTTATGAAGATTATAAGGATTTATATGGAACAACAGCAGAAAGGAGAGGTGAGTGAACAAGCTGGGGATTTGTTTTTTTTTCTATGTAAAAATGCAGATTACAGTCATAATTCACAAGTTTAATCTGTGTTTATCTAAAAACATTGTTTCCTAGTATTTTTAGGCCCGAGCACCAGAAGCTGGTGAAGGCTGTTAGTATCACAAACCAATGCTCCTAGTGGGCAGAAAGTGAAATGACATGACTAGTCGCACGTAGTGACCTGGGACCCTCATTATGACGTAGGAATGTGCCAGAGCTTTCTGAAAATGTATAGTTTGCTGGCAAAAAAAAAACAAAAACAAAAAAAACAGCGTAACATTGTAGAATATTACTCTTTTTTCGTCTTTCTTTTTATATTTTATTCAGCTCATTCACTTTTCACACATGGAACAATGACAAAAACTCAAAAAACTTTGCCAACTGTAAAAACTCCACCATTTACCATTTCTCTATTTTCAGAAATTGTGCCCAGAGATATGTGGCCTCTTCTTCCAGGAACGCGGCAGAGGTGTGGTTATGTTGCTCTCTGTCTACCTCAACATTCACTCAATGCAAGAAGGGGCTAGGCTTTAAAGTCATGGTTGGGGTTTACAGTTATTAGGATTAGTGTGGGACACTGTGTTTGGGGGCCATGGCGTATGCGCACAACAGGGCCGATCATTGCCACTTGTGGCTATATTTTTCAGTTGTTTTTGCATGAACTCTCTCTGCAAGTGTAGTCTTGTGAGTGCAGTTTGTGTCAGATAATAGTTTTCAGAGCTTTTGCTTTCCATTTTTACTGGACAAATCTAAATGTAAAATGGTAAATGGTCACATTTTTATATCCAGTAGTGCTTTTCCACCTTCAAGGCACTCAAAGTGATTTACATCAAGGAAGCATTCACCCATTCACACACACATTCATACACCAGTGTACGCAGACAATAGGAGGGAGGTGGATTAAGTGTTTTGCCCAAGGACACAACAACAGCCTTCATCTGTGGGAGTTGGAATCACACCAGCCAACATGTGGGTCAGTGGATCAACCAGTGATGTTTATGTCAAGTGGGATTTGAACTAGCAACCTTTGAATCAGTGGACAAACGCTCGACAAACTGTGCTACTGTTGCCCCTCTCAATATGTTTCTTTAGTCGATTACAGCTTTAATTCTCAGCCACAGTTGTTAAAAGTGCACGCAAGATTGGCTCATTCAAATAAGGACAATGTAAACTGAAAGAACATACCGTCCAACCACCCCCAGCTGTTGTCAGGTCACAGTACGCCTGGAAAAACAATACTGTTTAAAAATGCAGCTGCTTCTGTCCAATGAGATGTGATTTCTTCATGTGTAATGTTCCACAATATGGCATTAAAGGCCCCATATTATGGCGTTTTCTGATCCGTTATAATGTTGTTTCCTCTTAATAACACCTGGAGTTGTGTTTTGTTTCATTCTCACATGTTTAACTCACAAATCCTTCATATTTAGGCTGAGTTCTTCTCTTAAACAGAAAACACTCTGTTCCACCTTGTGATGTCATGTGGTAATACAGGAAGTGCTCCACTGAGTTTTAAAAACCCAGACACCTTCATTAAAATAATTTGGATAATTTCAGTATCTGTACTGAACAACATGTAAATTTGAAAACTATACCACCTCATGACATCACAAGGTGGAACTGAGCATTTTGAGCTTTGGAGATGTCAACAGACTAATAATAAAGGATTATTCAAACATGTGTGAATGAAACAAAACACAACTCCAGGTCTGTTTTTGATGCAGTAACAACATTATAATATGACTAAAAGCTCACAAGAGTCCAGTTTTGTGTAATATTGGACTTTTAAACAAGGTCAGATCTTTGGAGCAGTGACATCACAAGGAACAGAGTGTTTTGTGTTTGAGAGAAAAACTCAGTCTCAATATGCAGTGTTTGTGTTCCAACTCCAGGTCTGTTTGTGATGAGGAAACAATGTAACACAGATCAGAAAATGGCGTAATATGGGTCTTTTTAACATTGCATCACCTGAACTCCAAATTTCTCTCCGTAAGGATGGATGGTGTAGACTCCACTCCGACGGGACTGATCTGTGTAATCATTGTGTTCAAGGATGTCATTGCAGTCCACAGGTGGCCAAGCTCCACAGTCTCTCAGCAGTGAAGATAGAAACAAGAGTACTGCCAACTGGAACACAGATAAATATTGATAATTTAACGTAGATCTAAAGGTGCATTGTGTAACTTTCCTGGTGGAGGGCTCACTTTTGCTTAAAATCTTCCAAAGTATGGCCATAAACTTATCTGTCTCCATAGAAACAAGCAGGAGACACCACTAGGCCAATTTACAGGTGAGATCTGTGAAGCAGTGACCCACACTCACAGTCAGAATACATGTTTTTAAAGGTGTTTTTAAGCAATAAAAACACACAACTGAACAAATGCATCTTATTTAAGTTTAATACCATATTGTGGAACATTACAGGCAAAGCTATAGTATCTCCATGGTGGCAAACCCCCAACCTGAAAAAAGTTACCTTAAAGGCACTAGACAAAAAAAAAAAAAGAAAAAACTCCCACAGCCCACCTCTCTCTCACTCCCTTTTAAAGGTGCAACTTTTCTGGTGGAGGGTCCATCTGGAATGTTTCACAGTACGGCATTAAACCTTTTATCTTCATGGGTACCAAACCAGACCAAGTTACAGGTCAGATCTGTGGAGAGGCGACCCCACTCACAGTCAGAACACCTGTTTTTTCATGATTTTTGAGACACTTGTAATTGAATAAATGTTAGATAGAGCTGTATAATGTCATATTGTGGAACATTTCAGGCAGAGCAATGACGTATCCATAGAAACAAGCAGGTGTTGGCCCCCCAATCTGTTACATAGTGCACCTTTAAACAGTTTGCAGTGGTCCAAAGTTATTCACTTACTTTATGCATTTTGAGCATCCTAATTATTCACTGCGATGAGTTTATGTCTTGTCCAGGTTTAGGTCCAAAGCTCAGAAGAATACATTTTGCGTAATATAGGACCTTTAAAGTCCATGCTATAACAGCAACCAGTATATAGATATATGTATGTACAATACTTACAGTTGATCACAATAATTTATTGCCTGGCTTTTAAAAAAATAATAATATTTTTTTGTTTTTGTAATGCAGACAAGACAATAAGGAACAGAAGTACAGATAAAAAAGAATAATAATTACACAGGGTAAAATAAACAGCAAAAAACAAAATCTAGGTAAGTTAAAATGACTTAAATTAAGGACATTTGACTTGATTTGAGCAGATTTAACTTAAGTAAAATGATCTACCAATGGAATAAGTGTGTTTTTCTTAATTCAAGCAACATCGCATTTTATTTCTTATTTTAAGTGCAAAGAGTTGTTGTGTTTCTTATCTTAAGTGTAGCAAGATGTATTTTCATATTTTAACTACAAAAAGTCTTGTTCCATTGGTAGATCATTTTACATGTCATGTGAAATTTACTCAAATCATGATAAAACTTTCCTAATTCAAGTAATCAAGTAAAACTAGTAATCGTAACTAGTTTGTTTTTTGTCATGTACATGTAAGTGCTCAGTAAGGAAGTGTAAGTGTAAAAGTGTAAGTCTAAGTGTAAGTGTAAATGTTCAGCTTACCTTCATTGTCAGATGTCTGTTGAAGTAGATGCACGAAATTCACTCACAAAGCCAAACAATGTTTTGAAAATGTGTAGATTCTGCTTTTATAATCTGCTTTTTTATTTACTTATTTAATCAGCTGTAGCGGGAAATGGGACAACCTGGTTCAACCAATCAGAATCAGAGCTCAGCTCTGTTTGTTCAGGTGCTATGGCTAAAAATGATAAATGACTAAAGGACACTGTATTTTACTGTTTTTAATTAATAATAAAGTACATTGCAAAACATTTTTTTTGTGAGCAATTTTACATTAAAATTGATCTAGTTCAGGGGTCTCAAACTCGCAGCCCGCGGAATGATATTTTGCGGCCCCCTACTTGAGCACAAGAATCCCTCATTCTTAAGTATGGGACACAAGGAGGGAGCGGGAGACTCAGGGACAGTGGTCCTGAGTCAGGCCTATGTTTTGATAATCAGCTCACCAGAGCTTTCCAGTAAGTTCAGTCTGACCATGTGCCTTTTTGAGCACACAAATCTGTGTGAAAAGCTTTTCTCCACCATGAAATTTAATAAACCAAAGTACAGGTCCAAACTCACTGATGAACATCTTAAAGTTATACTGACGATCTCATTTGTTTGAAGCCAAATATGTCTCAGCAAAAGGGAGCGCAGCCAGGGCTCAGGCAGGAAGAGGGAGCCCAAAAGAACTAGTAGAAGTAGTAACAGTTTGAACTTATATTCGGATGAAATTTTCATGTTTTGAACTGTTATTATTAAAGATTTAGAATAATAAATAGTTGAAACCTCGGTTTTGTCAAAAAGCCTACTACTAAACTTGATGCAGCCAGCCTCACCCAGACTTTACCTCCAGTGGCCCCCAGGCAGATTCTGCTTTGAACCTGCTTTTTTTATTTACTTATTTAATCAGATATAGTGGGAAGTGGGACAGCTTTGTTCAACCAGAATCAGACCTCAGCACTGTTTGATCAGGTGCTATGATTAAAAATTATCAATAAAAAAGACATAGTATTTTACTGTATTTTAATTCAAAATAAAGTACAAGTGTTACTTACATTGCAAAACAGTCTTTTTGTAAGCAATTTTAGGTTAAGATTGATCTAGTAGTCAGTAGAGAGTAGAGAGTAGGGAGTAGGGAGTAGTAGTAGTAAGGTTTTTTTTGTTTTGTTTTTTTAACAAGGTTTGGTTAGTTATCAAATTAAAGTTAAAGCTTCAACATGTAACTTTTCTGGTGGAGGGAGAGTTTGTTACCTGTTTGTCTCATGTCATTGCTTTTTTGTTGTTGCTATTCACCTGATTTAATTGAAATAAAAAACAAACAAACAAACAAACAAACAAAAAGTAGGGTGTTAGTGATGTCATCTGCTGGTCCCCATGGAGATAACAAATTTAATATCTTTTTATAGAAAAATATCTCCATAGCCCAAACTATATACAGCGGTTGGGAAGCTTCAGAAAAATGAATGATGCTCACTTTTCCCCACATAATTATTTTTTAAGGTAATTTGAAATATAATGTTAATTTCACATTCAATATTTGAATGTAAAAAGATGGCAAATATTTACACTACCAGACCAGTCAAAAGTTTGGACACGCCATTGACAGTTTTTTTTTTTACTACTTTTGACATTTGATACACACAGAAGACATCAAATACACGATTTATGGTACTATGTACTTAAAAAAAAAAGATTATTATTATTTTTTTTTAATACAAATTCTCAAAGTAGCCACCCTTGGTCAAAAATATTTAGTTTTAGTATTTTTTTTAAACATCTTAATAATACAACTTATATCTTGCATCATACAGTAATAAAAATAAAGAATAAAAATACTGAATGAGAGAATGTGTCCAAACTTTTGACTTTATTTATTTATTTATTTATTGGTGAATTCAAGCAGTTAGTTAGATGGAAATTTGTGGGTTTCAGCTTCCTGTTCCATGCAAAATTTTTAGGACTTTTTCCCAGTCAAATGATATATTATATATATATATATATATATATATATATATATATATATATATATATATATATATATATATATATATTATTTTTTTTTTTTTTTTTTTTTTTTCAAATTAGTAATCACTATGGCAACAGTCTTAATTTTTCACCATTCTGAAACCCATGGACAGGACCTTTTAAAAGTGCATTGCATAACATTTCTGGCAGAGTGTCAAATGCTTTTGTCCATGTAGATGTTATTAAGCCCTGAGCGGCAAGAGAAAAAAAAAAGAGGCATGTCTTTTGAGCTATTTTCAAAGTTTTTTTTTTTTTTTTTTTTTTTTTCTTTTTAACTTTTGCCCTCTCTTTTATAACTCATAAAAGAGCAAGTGAGTCTAAAACCCCAGTCTCCTACATCCTAACCAACAGCCTAAAGCAATGAGCTATTCTTCTGCTCGTCCACAGTTGCTGAAGTTTGATATTTACACTAATATACTGAGAAAACACTTAGGAGCGGTATTTATATTTTTTTTCTCAGCCACAAAAACGATTAAAAAAAAAAAAAATAATTAATTAAAATAAAAAATAAAGATAAAATAATAATAATAATAATAATAATAATAATAATAATAATAATTATTATTATTATTATTATTATTTATTATTATTATTATTATTATAAATACTTTTTTTTTTTTAAGTTGGTGCAAAAAAAAAAAAAAACTTAAAAAATAGAGCCCCCCCCCCTTTTTTTTTTCTTTTTGTTGCTCAGGGCTTCCGTATGTATGTTATTGCTTTGTCTAGAATGTTTCACAGTATGGCATTAAACCTTTCTATCTTCATGGAGACCAAACCAGACCATGTTACAGGTCAGAACTGTGGAGAGGCAACCCCTCTTACGCTCAGAATGCCTGCTTTTATAGGTGTTTTTCAGATATAAAACGACCTGTAATTGAATAAATGTAAGTTAGAGCTGTTTATGTCATACTGTGGAACATTCCAGGCAGAGCAATGACATATCCATAGAAACAAGCAGGTGACAGATCCCCAACCTAAAAGTTACATAGTGCACCTTTAATTACAAGTTTTCCTGCTGCCTTCAGTCCAATTTCACCGCCCAACGCTGATGTTACAGACTTTGCAGCTTGGATCTTTCTTAGCGTTAGTTGTGGATAAACTCATGAGTTGATGTCCATTGATTTGCGTTACTGTTCCCAAACCCAAATCCACCGGCTCCGTAAATATTACTTCCAAAATGACATCTTGGGCATGTTGGAAATGCAGAGAGCCGTCCTCCATCTTGGTACAGGACAGGAAACGGTTGGAGGAGCGTTCCAGACTAGGCAGGCGTTCCTTACAGAAGAGGTCCCATTTGGATCCGTCTGGGGCCAGGACAACAATGACGTAATGGTAGGAGGTGTACATGCAGTAAAAGTCGCCGAAATATAGATTGGTGTTTTGATTGAAGAGAAGGTCGGCTTGGATCTGTGGACAGTTAGGACCAAAATGAATAAATTATTGGACAAACTGGTATTGATAATTTGCAGTGACATCGCGCTGGGGGTGTTCTACATCACTGTTTCCCAAAGACTGGGTCGCAAGAGATTTTTTTGGGGTCGCCTTGTCACGATCTGCATGTAAGTCTGGAATATACAGTTCTGACTCATGTTGAAATGTTAAGTCATGTTTTATATAATTTCTAATCGTTTTGTAATTATTCTATTGACTATTTTGTTCCAGTATTGCTGGTTCAATTGAAAGTTGAAAAGAAAAAAGAAATGGGCTACATTTAATGTCCAAATTGGTGACTTATGGATCCTTTTATTACTACTTATTACTATTACTTATTACTTATTAATACTAATTGTTCAGAGAGACATCAGTCAGTCAACAATAAAATATCTTCATTAATGTTCAATAATGGTCAAATCCACTTTTACTTTGTGATTTACAAATAATGTCTGCTGACTTGTGTCGCAAAGGTTTGTGACTTTTAAAATAGGGGTCCCCAGAAAAAAAAAGTTTGAGAAACACTGTTCTACATGTATGTGTAGTTTTGTAATGTTCATCAGTTACCATGGAGACACAGTGTACACATCAGCAACGCAGCCGAATAAGTTTTAAGATAGTCTGAAAACTCAAGAATAAGAAATACAAAATGTATTTAAACACATTTTCAGGAACGTGTGGTGAATACGAGCGTTCATGGTCCAGTTTAGGAGTTTGATTTTCAACAAAAAGGTGAGAGTGACTGAGAAACTGTTGGCTCATGCTGGCTAGCTTGGGACTCTAATTGAATGTGTCAGAGGCTGCGTTCAGACTGCAGCCTGAAGTGACCCAAATCAGATTTTTTTCTCCCCTATGTGACCTGTATCTGATCTTTTAATGACTGAACGACACAGATCCGATTTTTTCAAATGTGACCCAGGCCACTTGGATATGTGCTCCTGAAACCGATACATATCCGATCTTTTGACATGCGACTTCAGTCTGAACGGCCAAAGCGCATTCATCCGACCTACACGTTATCAACAAGCCACAAACGTCACTATTCTGCGCTGAAGTAGGCGAAAATTGTTAATGAACTCCGTGTCACTGACGCGAAGCACATCACCACTCACCACTCTTGGCTACGTCTCCACATCCACGCGTTCCTTTCAATGGACGTCGCTGCCACTGCCCCACAAAACACCACGGCCAAAAACCTCGTCCTTCTCCTTCTCAATCTCCTCCTTAAAACAAGTAAATTGTTCATGTTCTGGCTCCGGTACGAGAGGAACTTTAATATCGCCAGGTGCTCAATGCTCGCGTCCATGTTTGGACAACTTCTGAAAACACTGAGCATACTTGCTGCGGTTGATGTCATCGTGTCTCCAGTGCACATGCGGGACACTTTTGGACTGTTTAATGTTCACACTGGAGTCACATACAAGTCACATTTAATTGGAAATGTGAACGGTCTCGCAAAAAAAAATGTATTTCACAGATAAATCTGAATTGAGCGTTAAGCCCTGCAGTCTGAACGTAGCCTTGGATATGTGCTCCTAAAATCAATACATTATCCGATCTTTTGACACGCGACTTCAGTCTGAACAGTCAGGTCGCATTCATCCCACCTACACGTCACAAAAGTACACAAATGTACTTCTCATCATACGAAAATTGTGTATGAACTCCGGGTCAATGAAGCAGTGAAGCACATAACAATCCCACCACTCTTGTCTGTGACTCTGCACCCACACGTTCTTTTCTACGAACGTTGCTGCCGCTGCCCCACAAAACACCACGGCCAAAAACCTCGTCCTTCTCCTTCTCAATCTCCTCCTTAAAACAAATAAGATGTACATGTTCTGGCTCTGCTGCGACAGTGACTTTAAAATCATCAGGTGCTCAAGGCTACTTCCGTAAACACTGAGCACGCTCGCTGCTGTGACGTCGTCGTGTCCTCCAGTGCACATGCGGGACACTTTTGGGGAGTTTAAAGTTCCCACTGGAGATCACATACAAGTCACATTTAATTGGAAATGTGAACGACCTCACAAAAAAAAAAAAAAAAAAGTGGATTTCATGAAAAAAATCCGAACTGAGCATTAAGCCCTGCAGTCTGAATGTAGCAAGAGATTGTTTAACAGCTGTAAGGAGCAGAATACCTGAAATCTGTATGGCCCATAGGGAGAGTCCTGGGGAGGTTTTCCAGTATTGAACTCGGTGTTGCAGCTGAAGAAGATTCCCTCCAGTTTTCCGCTGATTGGAGATCCGTGACTTCCACTGTCGTCTTTAACGCACGGCAACATACGGCTACAGGCGGCATCTCTGGAACTAAACAAGGGACTGAGAAAAAATAAACACAAAACTTTATCATCTGGATTCAAAATAATGTTGGTTTAACACAGGAAATTCCTTTGAAACTTCCACAGATTGAGATTGCAACACAACGCCACAACACCAGTATTTCAGAGTTCAGTGGATCGAAATTTTAAAATGCTTTGTTCCACCTTGTGATGTCATGTAGTGGTAGTTTTCAAGTTAACAGCTACTTAGTTGAGATGGAAAAGAGCATTTTAAAATTTCGATCCATTAAACCCTGAAAGACTGGTGTTGTGGTGTTGTGTTGCAATCTCAATCTGAGAGGTGGAGTGTTTTTAGTTTAAGAGAAGAGCTCAGCCTAAATCTGCAGGGTTTGTGTGTTAAACATGTATGAATGAAACAAACAAGGGTGTAGGTTTGGTCTATGGTGGGGACATTATCAGCTAACCCCCTTTCCCCCCATATGTTTTTGTGAATTCTTTCCAAAAACACACAGAGTCTGGGCAGGTTTTGGTGCACAGTATCTTCACTCACGCCTGCTCAAGCCGCCATCTTCAGGTGCAGCCCTGTCCTGCCGCTTCCCCAGTTTAGGCTCCTGGCTCCACTAATGACATCACTCTGTTGCAGCCAATGAAATAGCAGCAGGAGTAACCCTGTTGTTATATCACTGAATGCATCTCAGAACGTCTAATAAACAAAATGTGAACTAAAACGTGTTAAATTAATACTATTGAATCTGGAAAAATATTGGAATAAATGTATATTTTTGTTTATTAAAATAAAATGGCAAATATTGGTAAGGATTATTTTGTCTTCCCCAAATATTGGTTGTGACATTTCCCCACCGTTCCTATGCAAACCTCCAACCTTGGAAACAAAACATAACTCCAGGTACACAGTATTTTTGATAACATGACATAGATCAGAAAATGTGGGCCCTTTAAAATGAACTAGTTCTGTTTTTGGTGTTTTTCAGTAAAAATCAGGTAGAGTGCCTTTAACTCAAAAATTTCATAATAATTTCCTCCATCCAGAATCTAAACTCTGCTCCAAACCGCACACTTCTACTGACAGAGGATCGGCTGTAGATTCCTGGATTAAAAGACCCAAGATGATCAGTGACGATTAGAAAGGTCTTAATTGCACAGTTGTACTTAGCACACACCCTTTCTCTTCAAAGTACGCCCTCTGGTGGTTTCTGTAGAAAACGTTGAAAGGGAGCATCCTGCCGGCCAGTGCCTCAGCCTTCTGTAGCAGCTGAGTGAGGTGGACCGAAGAATAATCTGAAACAATAAACAAACACAAACCTGTTCATAAAAATAACAAAGAAGTATAAGTATAGCTCTTATTCTAACGCACCCACTTTTGCCTATAAACATTAAAGGTCCTATATTACACAAAAATGACCCTGGTGAGCTTTAAGACATGTTGTTATATATATATATAAAAAAATTAAAAAAAAAACAGACCTGGAGTTGTGTTTTGTTCATTCACACATGTTTGAGTAATCCTGCATTATTAGGCTGGCTACATCTCCCAAATTCTAAATGCTCTGTTCCACCTTGTGAGGTCATGAAGCAGTAGTTATATTTTTACCCTTTGTTCAGTAAAGATTGGCAGTTCCAGGGCTGAAATCATCCAAATGAGTCTAGGGAAGGTGTGTGGAGTTCACATCTTCATCTGAGAGAAAAACTCAGCCTAAAGTTACAGGATTTTAACTTCTTGGGTTCTTTTTAAAGATAATACAGTAAAGGTATTAAAAAAGTTTTTAAAAAAAAGTAATTAAAAAAGTAAAGACAGGAGGTGTGGTCAGTCTGAGCGACCTGCCAGGTCCATCAGACTAACCACACCTACAGGAAGCAACAACAACCAAAACACGGCATGTCACTACCAACACTGGTGACTACACTTTACTGTATTGTCTTTAAAAAGAATAACCCAAGAAGTTAAAGTACATAAGACAAAATGAACATCTTGGGCTAAATTTGCAGGGTTTGTGTTAAACTTGTGTGAATGAAACAAAACACAACTTTATAACATTATAAGATAGATCAGAAAATTGCATAATATAGGCCCTTTAAAGACGAGTTATTACAATTTTAGGGGGTATTAACTGCTGACACATAACATACCAATATTTAGATCACCACGGTACTTTCTGAAAACCTGAAAACTACCACTTTTCAGATCTGGAAATATAGACAGAGTAATAATCCGGGATTATTCAAACATGTGTGAATGAAACATACAGCATTATAACATTACCTTGCACAACTTTTCTAGTGGAGGGTCCATCACATTCTTGGTTCTATGGATATGTCATTGTTCTGCTTTGAATGTTCCACAGTATGGCATTAAGCAGATCTACATTACATTTATTAAATTTTGTGGTTTTATAGCTCAAAAATACACAGAAAAACAGGTGTTCTGACTGTGAGCGGGGTCGCCTCTCCACTGATCTGACCTGTAACTTGGTTTGGTTTGGTCTCCATGAAGATAGAAAGGTTTAATGCCATACTGTGAAATATTCTAATCTAGACAAAGCAATAGCATCTCCATGAAGAAAAGCATTTGATGGACCCTCCACCAGAAAAGTTACACAATGCACCTTTAAAGCTCACAAGAGTCCATTTTGCGCAATATTGGACCTGCAGGTTCTAAGGGTCTAAGGTTCTTTATTTGTCATTCAAGCATGCGAGAGAAACACATGACAGAACGAAATGTGCTTCCCGAGGCCTAATGATCCAGAAAGAGATAAAAACAATAACAAATAAGCAATATTAAAAAGTAAATACATCAAAACAACAACATTTAGCAGTTCCAATGGACAAGCACAAGTAAAAAACATGGCAAGATAGAGAGGCAGCCCAAGCAGGAAGTCAGTGTGCACTGTTCAAAAGTCTGACAGCCTCAGGAAAGAAGCTGAACTTCAGCTGAGATGTTCTGGCTTTAATGCTCCTCAGTCTCCTCCCAGAGGGCAGAGGAACAAACAGGGGGTAGGAGGGGTGCGAGGGGTCCCCCATGATCCTGGAGGCCCGTCTTCTGCAACGCTCCTCATAAATGTCACTGATGGGTGTAAAGTCACATCCAGTGAACTTCTCTGCCATTCTGACCACACGCTGTAGAGCTTTCCTGTCCTGGGCTGAGCAGTGGCCGTACCACACTGTGATGGACTGGGTCAACACACTTTCCACTCCACATCGATAAAAAGACATGAGAGCAGGGAGGCCTAGTCCAGCAGACTTGAGTCTCAAAAAATACAGACGCTGGTGGGCCTTCTTAACAATGCTAGCTGCATTATTGGACCAAGTTAGGCTGTTGGTGATGTGCAGACCCAGATACAGATCCAGTAAGTAAAAGTAAGTTTTATTTATATAGCACTTTTCACAGACATACTGTATGTCACAAAGACGCTTTACAGATCATTATTCATTCACTCTATACCCATGTGGGTGAAGTGTCTTGCTTAATAAGAACATAAGGACACAACAACAGTTTTTGCGACTGGCGCCCCCCTGTGGCACCTGATTTTCTCAGCGATTTCCCATCCAAGTACTAACCAGGCCCAACCCTGCTGAGCGTCTGAGACCTGAGGGGATCAGGCTTTTGTCCGAGTGTTTGAGTCTGACAGTTATCTGTACTGACCTGCTGTACCAAACTCCACACTGTTGCTCCACTTGGACACTGTGTAGTCTCCGTCAGGGCGCTTGGCTGCGGTCTGCACTGACAGAGTATACTGGGTCCTGGGGCTCAAAAACCAATGGCCACGGACCGTCATGGGGAGCCTCACCGCCTTGGCAACCAGCTTTGTCGGGACATCCTGCATACAAACAACGGGGTATTTAAAGGTGCGCGGTGTAACTTTTCTGGAGTCACCTGCTTGTCAACATGGAAACTGAATTACTTTTGACCTGAAGCTCTTTTACTGTGTCCATTTCCTTAACGTTGACCTCACACTGGCAACCCGGCTCTGCTTTCTCCTTTTTGAGCAGTGGGACGTAAACAAATATGCTCAAAGCTGTGTGGACAGGGAAGGCTTGCGGACACAAAAACGACGTGTCTGGACGCAGATCGTTTCCGATACGGTGATAAGGTGATACGCGGATTAGTTTCAGTGTAAACGTAGTCTAGGAAATGAGGCCCTATGTCCAAAATTCCAGACTGTCCCTTTAAAGATCAGGGCTTGGCTGCTCAGGGGAGGGACTTTGGCGTACACTGGGAAGAAACTGGGGTAGAGACTGTCGATAAAAGAATAAGTAAGAAGCTGTGGTTTATACCGTTTTAAGATGTCTGTGTATCTGAAAAACCTGTTCGCTGTCTGTAAATGTCTCAGATATCAGTTATTTGAGTGTTTTAAATGAAGCTAGTCCCTACATGCTTCTCACAGCAGTTGAGGATGTGTCATGGCAATGGAGCAGTGATACAGAACAGTGATTTGGCTGTTGCCGGACTACTTGCGTGTTATGCAGTATTAACGCACACTGGACATGGTATGCACTTTTTCAGTATAATCATAAACTCCAAACCTCGCAATTGGATTATAATTTAACATCAAGAGATATTTCCAGACCAAATGAAACCAAATAAACTCCTTCTAACCTTGTGTTTGAACTTATTGGAGCCGGCGTTCTCTTTCTTGTTGAGATCGATGAAATAGTGAGTGATCCGGTCTCTGCTGTTTTCCTCCAGATCCCAGCCGATCTTAAAGGAATCGCAGGTGATGTGACTGATAGAGATGTGTTGAGGGATGGGCAGCTCATCTCCACTGTCCACCGAAGACTCCAAACCTACAGCAGATTCAGAGGGGAGCCACATTAGCACGCCTGCCATAATGATTAAAGGTCGTGTATTACGCAAAATCAACTCTTGTGAGCTTTTAGCCATGTTATAATGTTGTTACCTCCTCAAAAACAGACCTGGAGTTGTGTTTTGTTTCATTTACACGTGTTATTATTATTCTGTCTACATCTCCAAAGTTCAAAATGGTCTGCTCCATGCTACTTTTTACTTTTAGTTCAATAGAGATTAACAATTCCAGAGCTGAAATTCATTCAAATGATTCTAGTGACTAATATTTTTTATTTATTTATTTATTTTATTTTTTTATTCAGTGAGTAATAAACACTACACTAGTATTAATTTCTAGATCATTGTTAAAAACTTGGACAAATGGCGAGGTGAAAATTCAGTTTGTCAAGTGGACAAAAGTTAGTTTGGTTGAAGACGTTTCGCAACTCATCCAAGCTGCTTCTTCAGTTCGTCAGCTGCGAAACGTCTTCAACCAAACTAACTTTTGTCCAGTCGACAAACTGAATTTTCTCCTCACCATGGATTCTACCTAGACGACTGAGGGATTCTTCAAAACTTGGACTAATATTTATTGGGAAACAAAGGGTTAATATAATGGAATGGAAATGGACCAATCGAAATTTTTCTTCCAGTGGTATCTGGGTAAATCAGTGACTCCTCCTGCAGGCACTGAATTAAAGAAACACCTGCAGGGCCTTCAGTGGCTGTAGCGAAGGCCTGCGCAATACAAGTCAATGTGGGGATGAGTTTGAGATTGACGGTTGTCTTAGCCAATCATATTTCATTGAGTTATGGGCGGGATCAAAACATGACCTCCTCTGGGCCTTCGCGAATACCCTGTGATAGCAAATATAAGCGAGACCGCAGCATGAAAACACGTGTTGGACATCTCTATTTGGACGCTTCGGGGGTGTCTGAAAGAAGAAGAAGAAGAAAGAGAAAGACCTGAGAACCGGAGCTCGGAGCCCACAGCCGGCTGCGGATCTATCCATCGGTAGTTGTTGAACAGTAGCTAATGGTTATTAAACAAATATATGAAGTAAGTGAATGTGTGATTCATTTAGTTTTTTGTTTTTTTTGTTAGTTTTTTTGAAATAAATGATGTCATGAGAGCCATTGGTCCTAGTGAAGCTCCAGGGTCTAGGTCCACGGTTCACTACTGCTAGGAAAGGTGTATGGAGTTTAAAAACACAGTGGAGCACTTCCTGTGTTACCACATGACATCACACGGTGGAACACTTTGAGGAGAAGAACCTAAATATGCAGGGTTTGTGTGTTAAACATGTGTGAATGAAACTAAACACAACTCCAGATATGTTTGTAAAAAGAAAACACGTAGAAAAAAAAAAAACGTAGAGCAATGACATATCCATAGAAACCAGCAGGTGCCCCCAGCTGAAATGTTCCGTAGTGCACCTTTAATATTACAATACCGACAGCTACATTGTTCTGTACCATTTGTATTTGCATATAGGGGTGTCAAATTATCACGTTAATTGTGATTAATTAATTCCAGTCATATTTAGCGCGTTATGTTTTTTAATCGCGTTAATCTTATTTTTAATCTCTAACTTTACTGTTTCTGTATGTGAGTTGCCTTATTATAAAATCTGTTTTTATGTGTTGTTAGGACACAGTCCTGCACTGTGCAGTCCTGCTCCACTCGCTCCCGCAAAGAATTGTAATTTTCATTCCAGTTCTCACCCGCATCTGCAATAAACCTGCCCACGTCTGATCTCTGAAAACATCGTGACACAGACACAGAACAGACTCACCTTCACCATCAACATCCTCTGTCACAGAAAGAACATCTATATTCCACTGAGTCATGTCCTTTAGTAGAAGCTGAACCACCATCAGCGACACAAGAGCTGTTTTTTTTTCTCTGCTTAGTTCATGCAAATTATCCATGCGGTTTTAAGTTTTGTTTCTGTGAGTCTTGCACAAAGCTGCATTAAACACATTATAATGTCAAACGGGCTGATGTGGCTCTAGAGTGGTGATGGTTTATATGTTGTAAAGTTGAGTTTATTTATGCAGATTAGTAATAGTAATAATGATGATACTTATATAAAAACGTTAATGATAGTATGAAAATAATGTAATAATGAATTTAAATGAAAATACCTCAAGTTGAAGCTTTTCTCAGCAATTTTTAGGTGAGATTAAAAAAAGATTAATTAGATTAATTAATTACAGATCATAATTAATTAATCTCTACATTTTTTTTAATCACTTGATAGCACTATTTGTATATATTGAACTAAAGTCTGGTATGAAACGAGCATGAACATCTATCTTCACTTCTTTTTGCGTGCTAAAGGTTAAATTCTTGGTGTTCTTTGGTTGAGACACTGGCCCTCTGTGTGATGTGCCTTAGTTCTCGTTGATAAAAGGAGGAAGTCCGGGCTGTTTTCACTCTCTGTGTGGAAGCAATTATTCACAGTGAGAACGGGGCCAAGAGCCAGGGGCCAAACAAACCACCACTGTCCCCCTTGACTCTATGGGAGACTCAAAAACAACTGCAAAAATACTTAACAGCAGATGCTAGAATTTTTCCTAGTAAATACATAATTATTTGGCTTAATTAGACACATTTTTCTTCTTCTTAAAGGTGCTATATTACGCAAATTTCATCTTGTGAGCTTCAAGCCATGTTATAATGTTGTGACGTCATCATAAACACCTAGAGTTGTGTTTTGTTTCATTCACACGTTTGAGTAATCCTAGTTTATTAATCTGTCCGCGTCTCTAAAGCTCAAAATGCTCCGTTCCACCTTGTGATGTCACTTAGTGGTAGTTTTCAAGATGCCTTTTACCTTTACTGCCGATGAGATTGGCAATTCCAGGGCAGAAATTATCCAAATGATTCTAGTGAAGCTGTATTTCTTATTTGTTATTTATTTATTTGTAAAGGGACAGCACATACTAGTGAACATTAACCTTCAGTTCCTCGGCAGGTTGATGTGAAATCATCTACAGGAGAGAGAAAAGTACAGCAACAATCACACAAAAGTACATAAAACCAGCACACTCACTATAACTACAAATTAATTTCAAACAGTTCATTAGAAGTTCAAAGTCAAGAGTTTAAAAGTTAAACCAGTAACAATTTAAAAGAAAATGTAATTTGGTTAAACATGGTGACATATTTGGCCATTGAACAAACACTGTTTTAAACACTGTATAGAGTTTAAAAACACAGTGGAGCACTTCCTGTATTACCACATGACTTCACAAGGTGGAACAGAGCTTAAATCTGCAAACATGAATGAAACAAAACAGAACTCCAGGTCTGTTTGTGAAGAGGAAACAGCATTATAACATAGAACAGAAAATAGAGTAACATGGGCACTTTAACAATAACAATATTTCATTTAGAATTAAGAATATTTTTGCTAGGCTTGAGGTATTTCATTCATCATTTAAATCATTTTGTCCATTTTACTTTGAAAAGAAATGTTATGTTGTTTAGTTTCTGTGGCTATGCTGTTGCAATAAATGTGAAAAAATGCATAGCACACTCAGATGTTCAAAAGCTTTTTTTTTTTTTTTTAAATAACGTTTCAGCAAAAAAGCTTTATCTACTGAAACCCACAGATATACGATGGCTAATGTGCCTCATGAAAAGTTGAAGAAGCCAAAACATTCCTTGATATAAAACATTACAGTTTCTTTTTTAATATATATATATATATATATATATATATATATATATATATATATATATATATATATATATATATATATATATATATATATTTTTTTTATTTTTTTTTTTTATTTTATTTTTTTTTTTATTTAGCATTCATTAAAGTATATTTCAAGTTCTACAGCTAAATTAAATGTGCACTGTGTAACGTTTTGGCTGGACGTCTGTTGCGTACTTGTTTTTGTCATTGCTTTGCCTGGAATGTTCCACAGTGTGACATTAAACAGCTCTACCTTACATTTATTACATTTTGTGGTTTTACAGCTCAAAAATACCCAGAAAAACAGACATTCTGACTGTGAACGGGGTCGCCTCTCAACAGATCTGACCTGTAACTTGGTCTGGCTGGGTCTCCATGAAGAAAAGAAGGTTTAACAGCATACTATGAAACATTCCAGACAAAGCAATAACACAGTGCACTTTGAAAATAAGATATCACTGATTTCACTGACCTCCGGAGTTGCACTGTTGTCTGCTTTTCAAATCCAGCAAAGGACTGTCCGCCATCTTCTCTTTATAATTTCAATAACTACACTTCAATACTACACATTCAGTACTATATATTTCTAAATGGTGGTGTTCTGTCCTGTCTTGGTTGCCTTAAGGGGAGATACTGCGCTTGAAACAGCAGAGAGCAGAGGTGATGTCATTCTGTGGGATTACTAAGAGCTGAGAGAGAGGAGGATTTACATGGACTGAACGCAAAAGTGAATTAAACCAGGGATTATATAAGAAGATTACCAACCAGAGGCAAAACACACTGAGTATATTCAAAGTGCTATTGGAAAAAGCACAATGGACACATACAAAAACAATAGCTCCAATCATGTTTAATTTGGAGTGTATCAGCAAAAAAAAAAAAAAAGATAATTTACTTAAAAGTGCTCTGTGTAACTTCTCTGGTGGAGATGTTATTGCTTTGTCTGGAATGTTTCACAGTATGGCATTAAACCTTTCTATCCTCAGAGATCAAACTAGACCAAGTTACAGGTCAGATCTGTGGAGAGGCGACCCTGCTCACAGTTAGAATGTCTGTTTTTCTAGGTATTTCTGAGCAATTAAACCACCTGTAATTGAATACAATTTAAGGTAGAGCTGTTTAATATTTAAAGGGACAGTTCAGAATTTTGGATGTAGGACATCAATTTCCTAGTGAGTCAGAGTGTTGGAGATGTGTGGAGACACTTTTTAAAATAATCCATCCAGTCCTTGTATTTGCAGAGGTCACTGGTGCTAGGCTAGTGCATGTCAATGGCCATTAGTTCTCCTGCCACTAAAAACAGTCTTACCCACTCCACAAAACACCCGAAACAAATCTATTATTACACCAGACTGTCCATGTAAATGTCTGTGTTGATAGAATAATGTTTGTAATAAAACTAACCTTGCATCGTATGAATCGTCGCATGTTGAGGGACTATTTTCTCATATATCAGTCCGCCGCTGCCAAGCTTTCTATCAGGAAGTACAACTCTGTACAACTGCTGCTGCTCAGACATAAATCCTTCAAATTCAAGGCTGGTTTTACTTCTAAAATTAATCTGTTGACAGACTTTTACATTGACACTCTGGTGTAATAATAGATTTTCTTCGGGTGTTTTGTGGAGTGGGTAAGACTGTTTTTAATGGCAGGATAACTATGGCCATTGACATGCACTAGCCTAGCACCAGTGACCTCTGCAAATACAAGGACTGGATGGATTATTTTAAAAAGTGTCTCCACACGTCTCCAACACTCTGGCTCACTAGGAAATGATGTCCTACATCCAAAATTCTGAACTGTCCCTTTAAAATCATACTGTGGAACATTCCAGGCAGAGCAATGATGTATCCATGGCAACAAGCAAGTGATGGACCCCCAACCAAAAAGTTACATAGTGCAACTTGATGCTTAGTCTTACATAATTTTCCAGTCACAAGGACGATATAGTGTTTTATTCCTCTATTACATTGTAAAGATGCACTGCGTGGCTTTTTTGCTCATCTCCATGCAGATATGAAGTTACTGCTTTGACTGGAATGTCCCACAGTATCCACAGGCACGTTGTGTTTATTGGCAGTGCACACATTAGCAAACACAGACAAAAAAAGCTTGTCTGAAAACTCAAGAAAACACACAAAATGGATTTAAAGAACACATTTTCATGATCCTGTTTAGGAGTTTGATCCTGTGTAGGAGTCAGATCACCTGGTGTAGTTACAGCGAAGTCAGTTCTTTTCGATCAAAGGCGCTCAGATGAAGCACAGATTAAAGTTTAACAAAGCCTTAGACAGAGCAGTGCTTACAGTTAGCATCACACCCCCAAGGGAATGTCGCAAAGTTAAATCAATAGCTTTAAACATATCTACATAGCCTTCGTTGCAAGTGATTTTATTGCTCAAAAATACACTGAAAACAAGCATTTATACTCTATCCACCTGCTCGTCTCCATGGAGTTAGATAAGTTTAATGCCATACTCTGGAAAATTAACAAAGTAATAAAATCTCCATGGAAACAAGCGTGAAGCGTACCCTCCACCAGAAAAGTCTCAAAAGTTTTGAAATTTATACTTTTTTTTTATCTTATTGTAAAATTTCACCTTGAAGTAACTAAAATAACTAAATGATCTCATTGTTAGTTAGCAGCAAAAGTATAATAAATGAATAAAATAATATTAAAAAAAATATCAAATTAATATAAATGTAATGGGAATTGTGGTGTGTATTAAATGGCAGGATACTAAGAGGTTACTGGGAGACATTTTATTGCAAAAATATTTATTCAAAAACATATTACAAATTCATGGGGCATGCCAGATTTGCACAACACGAAACATTTGAGCTGAAATGGTACATGCACAGAATGACCAGAGATTCAGTTCAGATTTTAAAGGCTTTTTTTTGCTTCATACAGAGTTGTACAGACACAAAAGACACATACTTATTTGGAGAAAATACTTCTATCTTCCATCAAGACACATAAGTTCTGGTTACATTTTGAATCAAGCCCTTTTTTTATTATTCTTTTAATATTACACATTTCTGACATTCAATATTTACACAGTTTATAGTACTGCGCAAAAGTCTCAGTAAAGGTTTTAGCTGTAAATCAATGTAAATGGTCAATTTGAAGGTCCTATATTACGCAAAACTTCTGTGACTCTTGTGAGCTTTAAAGGTGCACTAACTTACTGGTTGGGGGTCCGTCACCTGCTTGTTTCTCTAGAGATGTCACTTCTCTGCTTGGAATGTTATACAGTATGACTTTAAACAGCTCTATCTTGGATTTATTCAATTGCAAGTGGTTTTATAGCTCAAAAAAACCCTTAGAAAAACAGGCATTCCGGTCTGGTTTGGTCTCAGTGAAGATAGAAAGATAGATTCTAATCTAGATGAAGCAAATAGCATCTCCGTGGGGAAAAGCATTTGACAGACCCTCCACCAGAAAAGTTACACAGTGCATCTTTAAGTCGTATTATAATGTTGTTACCTCATCACATAACATAAACATACCTGGAGTTGTGTTTTGTTTCATTCAGCACCTGCAGCTGATCATTATTCAGTGCTAGTGCAGCGTCTGAGCTAGTCAGGCTGGCGCCACCTAGTGCCTCCGCTCAATTTCATTTCTCCATTTCCAACAACTAGATCAGGAATTGGAATACACTAGACGGTTTGCAAGAACTCTGCAAGTAGTAGACCATGAACCAGCCAATCAGTGAAGGGCAGTAAACAAAGGGGTTGAGGTGGATGTAGGCCAGGGATCTCCAACCAGTTGCTCTCCACCCCCTTCCAAGTAGCTCGCCAAGGGATTTTTGAATTATACACATTGTGCTGAATAACTAAAATTTGATTGAATAATTTCCTTTGTAAATGTATAATTTTTATTTTTAACTTTGAGAACTGATAACTGGATAATGGTTTATGTTTTAAGGCCCCGTCTGAGGCTTACTGTGTCTCTATTTCCTCCGTTTTTGGCAACCACTAGAACTAGTAGCTCTCTGGGATTTTTATTTTACAGGAAGTAGCTCACAGGAGGAAAAAGGCTGGAGACCCCTGATGTAGACGAAGCCATACATTCTTGTTAATTTTAGAATTGATTTTAAGATTTTATTGTTTGTTTTTAAAGCTATGAATGGACTGGCCCCGCATTACTTCTTGGACCTCATCCAAATTTATACCCCCACGTGCGCTCTGAAGTCCAAGGGCCAGCTCCAGCTTATGGTGCCTAAGACGAGACTTAACACCAGGGGGGACACGGCCTTCTCTGTGGTCGGCCCTAAGCTCTGGAACGCTCTGCCCCCCCACGTCCGAACAGCCCCCACTGTGGAGAGTTTTAAGTCTCGTCTTAAGACCCACTTCTATTCTCTGGCTTTTAACACCACGTGAGTTGTGTGGTCCTCTGTGCTTTTTATTTAATTTTATGTGTTTTTATTGGTCTTATTGATTTAATTTATTTATTGGTTTATTTATTTCTAGTCTATGATTTAGTTTTTATTTTATTTTACTGGTTTTATTATTTTAAGACTAAGACTAAGTATTATTTTAGTAGTTTATTTTATCATCTTATTATTGTTGTTATTATTATGTATTTGTGCAGAACTTTGGAAACTGTTTGTTTGTGAAATGTGCTATAGAAATAAAGTGGATTGGATACATTCTGTGTTGGCAACGATTCCTGAGATCGAGGATTTAAAGCTGGAACAAAGAGAATGTTTTCGAATTTTATAGCCCCGTTAACGGCGCATTACATACGTCACGACCAAATAGCAGCGGTTGGTTAAATAAAGAAAAGTACCCGCCTACCGTCGAGCGAACAATCCTAATGCTGCAAGGTCAGACGGTTTCCACGAAGTGAAACCGGCTAATGAATCAGGCTGCCTCTGAGCTTTCCACAAACTAAAAGAAAACATGTGTGTGCGTTTTAACTGCAGATTTCAGCACTCACAACCCAGGATCGGCTGAGGTTGTACTACCTTTTTAAAACCCAGGCTACACGAGAAGTGAAGTGTTTTGCTCAAGGGCACAGCAGCAGTAAAACCTCGTCAGGGCTGAGATCGGACCAGCATAATTTTTCATCTTTTGCGCAGTACTATACACACCATCCATGTTTATGACGAGATGTAACGTACAAAACAATTGCATAATACATTTTACACTTTGGATAAAAAATAAATTCCCTTTTTAACTTAAAGTGCTGAAATGACCGGTCCTTATTCCGTCATTTTGAAAACATTACAAGATGCACTATGTAACTTTTGGGCTGGACAGACCCTCCACCAAAAAAAAAGTTACACAATGCATCTTTAAATTACAAGAAATATTTTCCTCATGAACTTATCTACGTTGTCCTTTTGAATTTTCATAGACCAGTGATTCTCAAACTGTGGTTCACATATATTTGACTGTTGGTACCCAGGCATACTGTATATCAAAGACAGACGAGATATAGTCCTGATTTAGACCTGGTTTGATACCTGAGTAGGACTTAGATTAGTTCTGATTTAGACCCGGATTAGTCCCGTTTTGTCCATATAGAGATTTTATCGTCCTTTGAAATCAAAATATTTCCAAAGATTCTGTGAACAGTTTGAAAAGGACTGCTGTAAAAGACTTAAACCACAACAAACCTGCGTAAATCAAAATTGTACTACATGGAAAACTGAGTAACAACAAAAATAATATGTTTCAAGGTGCAATTTGACAACTGGGACCACGAACAAGGCAATGGCCCTATCTCGCAATAATAATTTGAGACACAGAAACACAATTTTAGCTAAACTTGTATTGGATGGAAATGGTCACCTCAAACAAATACACAAATACAGAAATAAATAAATAAAAATAAAAATGTAAAGTAAAAATAAATGAAAAAAAGCAGGTTTATTGGTGTTTTTTGTTAACTAGCAGCAACAGTTATGGCCCTCTTTACAAATATATTAAAGTGCTTTCAGCTTGGCACATTTTCAGCTCACTCAGAAACACTTCAGACTTCATTCATGTCCTTTGTGGTTTATGCTGATGGTCATAGAAGATGCTGGCTTATTTACATTGAGTTCACATATGAGAGAGAAGGCCATGTTAATTCTGTTTATATATATTTATATATATAATCTGATTGTACAGTACAATGGAGAAGTATATAGCAATTATAACATTACCACTCCTGCCTAATACAGTATATGCCCCACTGGCAATAGCAAGCTTTTCTTTTAAAAACTAGAGGTAATGTTTTATATTAATTACACATATTCACGCCTTAAAGGTCCTATATTACGCAAAATTGACTCTTGTGAGCTTTAAGCCATGTTATAATGTTGTTAGGTCATCAAAAACAAACCTGGAGTTGTGTTTTGTTTCATTCACACATGTTGGAGTCATCCTTTATTATTAGTCTGTCTACATCTCCAAACCTCAAAATGCTCTGTTCCACTTTGTGATGTCACAAAGTGGTAGTTTTTAAGGTTATGTTTACACTGAAACAAATCACCATATCATCGTATCGGAAAGGATTTGTGTCGTGACACGTCGTTTCTCTGTCCGCAAGCCTTCCCTATCCACACAGATTTGAGCACATTTCTTTACATTTTACAGATCCAAAACTTAAAACCACATATACGCTACTTTGCATAAACTAAGTGCTCAAAAAACAGCTCGTTCCTTCTGCGCTGATGCAGTTCAGCTTCTGTCGGACTAAAGGACACGACTCAGTGGAATATAAGTGTTCTTTCTGTGACAGAGGGGTGTTCTGCTGATGGTGAGTCTGTTCTGTGTTTCTGTCGCGTTGGAGATGGTTCATGTGAAACTTTTCAAAGATTACACGTCTGCAGGTCATACACACAGACCGTATATATGAATGGACATATATTCTAGCGTCTTAGCATTTTGGCAGTGAATTAGTTTGCGGTGCATAGACCTACATGCGTGTCAGTGTTTTCAGGCTTTCAGTATGATCTGACACAGTGTCAGATCATACTCAAATGAATTTGTGGGAGCTGGCGGCATGAGATCGTTCCGTCTCTGGAACTGTTTTCCATTGGATTAGTGTGAACAAACACTGCATCCACAACAAAAACGACTCGAATACGTACTAGTGTGGACGGGGCCTAAGTTAACAGCTACCTTTTACCTTTTGTTCAGTTAAAATTGGCAATTCCCAGGCTGAAATTATCCAAATGATTTGAGTGAAAGTGTATGGAGTTTAAAAACAAAGTGGAGCGCTCCTTGTATTACCACATGACATCACAAGGCGGAACAGAGTGTTCAGCCTAACTAAGTAGGGTTTGTGTGTTAAAAATGTGTGAACTCCAGGTCTGTTTTGACAAGAAAATATTATAACATAGATCAGAAAATAGCGTAATATGGGCCCCTTTAATAAAGACTTAATTTTAGGGATGTAACAATATCCAAATCTCTCAATACGATATTATCACGATATGCATCTCACAGTACGATATTTATTGCAATATTTTGAAGAGCCTGATATAATTGTAGATAGGACGTTTTTTTGCTTTTAAAATACCGTGACAAGATTTTGGTGTGAATTATTTCCGTCATAATCCAGAGAATTCAAGTACAAAACATATTTCTTCATGTTGTTTGCACTGAAATGAATCATGGGATATGTAGTTCCCTATGTTCATAAGCTGTTGCTACTGTAAAACCATGCATTTAAGCAAAGTAACTTGTGATTCGATATATTGTGAGACTTTTGACGATACGATATCACTCATTTCAGTTATTGTTACATCCCTACTAAATTCATAATGAAAAATTAAAGGTTAGTAACTATGTAAAGGGCCTGTACCCAATTCTTTCTTTTCATGTATTTGAGCAAAAGTCCTGCCCGTTTACAGATATATTGTATAAGCAGCTCTTGACGTCAAAATCAGACAGCAGTTTTTTGTCTGCATCTAATTATAAAGTGTTATATGGTCCGATACTCAGGAAGTGTACTTTCAGCATGCTAGTTGTAGTTGCTTTGAAAGTTGTGGTAAGTTGTGGTAATTGTGGTGAATAATTAGGATGCTCAGAATGTATAGGTTAAGTGAGGAATAACTTCGGACCACCAAACTGCTTAAAACATTCTTTTTTTCCATGTTTTTAAGACCCTAAAAAAACCTTTAACTTCTTAATTAACTAAGTCTGAATTCTTAATAAATTAGTTGTTCATTATGAAGTAGGCCTAAGTCTTTGTTCATGTTTTATTAAAGGTGCACTGTGTGACTTTTCTGGTAAAAGGTCCGTCGCATGCTTGTCTCCATGGAGATGTTGCTGCTTTGTCTCGAATGTTCCACAGTATGGCGCTGAACAATCAATCTTGTATTTACTCAATTACATGTGTTTTTATTGACTCCAAACATGTATTCTTATGTGGGCTTGCCCCTCCACAGATCTGACATGTACCTTGGGCTTGTGGCATCATTTGCTTGTGCTTACTTGACTTAAATAAGTGTAATGGATGGAACATTCAAAGCAACTCAGTAACATGTCTATGGAGAGAAGCAGGTGAAAGGCCCTTCACCAGAAATGTTACACGGTGCACCTTTAAGGCAAATTGAAATGTTGTTCATATAAAGTATTACCAATTTAGCCTTAAAGTCCTATATTACACAAAACTGACTCTTGTGAGTGTTTAGCAATGTTAGAATGTTGTTCCCTCATCAAAAACAGACCTGGAGTTGTGTTTTGTTTCATTTATACATGTTTGAATAATCCTTTATTATTAGTCTGTCTACATCCCCAAAGCTCAAAATGCTCTGTTCCACCTTGTGATGTCATGAAGTTGTAGTTTTGGTAAATGTTTGCATTTTTATATAGCGCTTTTCCACCTTCAAGACACTCAAAGTCCTTTACAACAAGGAACCACTCACCCATTCACACACAGTTACACACACACAGTCACACACACACAGTGTCACACACACACAGTCACACACACACTCATACACCAGTGTATGCAGACACTGGGGGTGAGGTGGGTTAAGGGCCTGTCCACACGACAAAGTTTTTTTGGTCAAAATGGTGAAGTTCGTATTTGTTTTGGCCTTTTGTCCACATGGAGAAGGTGGTTTGCATGGGTGAAAACAGTGGTTTTTGAGAACAGATTCCAGAGTAGAGAAATCTGAGAACGCCGGCGTTGCGTTGTTGTGTGGACAAGCAAACTGCAGCTTTTAACGATGACATCACAACCCCGTCATCGCCAGGGTCCTCCGATGCAGTAAAGGCTGTAACCCTCGAACTGGCCTCTGTGGACCGTAAGGCCATTGCCAAAATGTGACAGGTGTAGCTTATGGAGCCGTTCTTGTCGCCCAGCAACTGAGACATGCTGCTATCACTAATGCTAACAACAGGCCCACGCAGATCACACACATGGATCAATAACAAGGATTACGCACAGGTAATTAAACTGTTGGATTTTATTCTAATAATTCTCATCCAAATCTTATGGCTAAAATTGAAAACTTATGTTTAACTTTTGCAAAACAAAACGGTTATATTTCTGGGTGACATCTAAAATCGGCGAAATTACCTTAAACTGTGATGAGATTTGCATTATTAAATATGATTATCATTGTTTACAGCGCCACATACAGGTGTGGCAGATGTATTACATTGTTTTCACTCAGTGCTCCATTGTCGTCAGGCTGTAAATATTTATTGATCCGACATGTGTGGACGTAAATTTTTTTCAACCCACAAAAAAGAAAATCCAGGAGTGTTGTCATGTGGACGCAGCCTAAGTGTCTTGTCCAAGGACACAACAACAGCATTCATGAGTGGGAGCTGAAATCACACCAGCAACCTGTGGGTCAGTGGACAAACGCTCTACCAACTGAGCTACTGTCGCCCCGTTTTCAAGTTTTTACCTTTTGTTCAGTAGAGATTGGCAATTCCAGAGCTGAAATAATCCAAATTATTGTAGTGAAGGTGTGTGGCAGTTTAAAAATACAGTGGAGCACTTCCTGTTTTACCACATGACGTCACAAGGTGGAACAGAGCGTTTTCTGTTTGAAAGAAGAACTCAGTTTAAATATGTAGGGTTTGTGTGTGTGTTAAACCTGTGAGAATAAAACAAAACACAAGTCCAGGTATGTTTTCAATGAGGAAACAACATTATAACATAGATCAGAAAATAGTGTCATATGGACCTTTAAACTTACAGCAACTATAGTTATTTGGAGATGTTTTCACCTAGTTGTCTAGCCAGCAAAATGAAACTTTGCTCTTTGTTCTAGATTTCTTTGGCATACAACAGAATCGACAATTCAAATCCTATGTCCCTCCAAAAACCGATAAGCAGTGGCAAACTGATTTCACTGACTCCATTCACTTACTTACTTGTGAGGTTTAATGTAGGATTATAAAGAGGCAGATGAGATGTTTTCAAAAGTCACATGGTTTTGGGGACTTCCTGTTTACTGAGAAGCACTTCCAGGAGGCGGAGCTTAGCCTTCAGCTGCTTGTATTCCTGGTACTCATCTTTCATGGGAGAGCGGTCTTCTTTTTGGCAGATTCTGTTGTAAAATCAAAATTAAATGTCAGTGTGTTTTTTGTATCTCTTTTGGTGGAATGTTCAACCGTTGCCACGGTGACACAATGCTCACGCCAAAATTGACAAAAACGTTTTAAAGGGCCCATCTCATGCAAAACAACTCTTTTCACATTGTGTAGGAGTCATTTTTCTTTCATTTAGGCTGGGGTTAATTTGGGTCACTGTTTGTCTGGGCACAGGGTGACCTATATTCGGCTTGGCCACAAGGGGGCAGGGTGGAGTCAAACCCTATATAAATACACAGGTGCCAGTGCACTGGGTGTATGGGTGACAGGAGGTCACACGGTTTTTACCGCTCTCTTTACGGCCGGTGGTCTAGCTTTCACTACTCAACTCTGTAATATTATCGAACATCTTTTTATCCATTCTACTCCCTACTCCTTTCTGCTCTACGATCCAATGTGCCAATGGGGTAGCGCGTTAGGCCTGGATCCCCTGCACCCAGAAACGACAAAAGGTTAGGACTAAAATTGTCGCTACACATTGTATCTTCTGCACATACACAAGCACAGTTTGGGTTTTGGAACATCCATTACACAATAGTTCTGAAATCTTATTGATTTCTTGGAGACAGTCACAGACCAAGAACTATGAAAGGCCGACTACTGCTCATCCCCCCGCCTATCCTGAGAAAGCACAGGCTCCGCCCTCCAAATGTGACATAGACTCTGAGTGAGCCGCCCTTCCTCCGCCCACCTCAGGGAGGGAGGGGTAGACATATGTGCACCCTGATAGTGGTAGGAATAAACTTTTATTACCTCCGCCAAGGAGGTTATGTTTTTGCCGGCGTTTGTTTGTTTGTTTGTTTGTTTGTTTGTCTGTTAGCAACATAACTCAAAAAGTTATGGACCGATTTTGATGAAATTTTCAGGATTTGTTGGAAATGTGAAAAGGAAGAACTGATCTCATTTTGGGGGTGACCCGGAAGAAATCCTGGATTCTGGATCACTTTGAAATTTTAGTTAACATTGTGGTAAATGGGGCCAAAAATTTTGTTTCTCAATATCTCGGTTAATTATTGACCAAACCCCATGAAATTTGACTCAGGGATGGACAATAGGATCCTCTTTCATATTCCAAATTGAAAGATACGAGACAAATATTTATGGAAAACACAATTAATATGAGGGGGACTGTAGTCCTTGGCGGAGGTCTGCGCTCTCTGAGTGCTTTTCTAGTTCATCATGGTGATACAGCGCGTTCAGCCGCATGTGTTGGACCTGGAATCGGACGAGAACTTGGAGATGCACGAAGCGCAAACACCGTGTCGACATCAGCTGAACATTACTGATTGGTAAAGTATTAATAAACACTAGTAGATAAACTTATTATAAGTGTACACTGCAGTGTAGAACAATGAGCTTATGCTGTCGCTTTTGTTTAGGTGTTCATGTGGGAATTGTCAGTCGATGTGGGGTGGAAGAGGGGCGGAGGCAGTGGAGCGGGGGCGGGTGCGAAGCGCTTTCTGCTACGTCAAATGCGTCATAGGTGTAGCGGCCGTGTCATCGTTGTAGCAGTTTTAGTTCGTTATCACGTGGGAGGGTGGCACAAATTCTGCAATTTGCTAAAAAAATGCCAAATCAATCTAAAAAACACTTCAGTGACAAATACAAGGCCCACACATCACTCTTAGAAGGTAGAAAGCTCTGAAAAGTTGATTTTGCATGAGATAGGCCCTTTAATATAGTCTGAAAACTAAAAATGGATTTAAAATTTATTTAAAGGGACAGTCCGGAATTTTGGACATAGGACCTCATTTCCTCGTGAGCCAGAGTGTTGGAGACGTGTGGAGACACTTTTTAAAATATTCCATCCAGTCCTTGTATTTGCAGAGGTCGCTGGTGCTATACTAGTGCATTTCAATGGTCATAGT